AGGAGGCTCAAAGCACACCTCCCCAGGCATCACCCGAGATGTCCAGGGAAGTGTCCGGTGAGCCCGAGGAACACCCGAGCAGGGTGGGGGAGGCTTCTCCGCTCGCTTCTTCCACTCCTCCTCCCCCTCTTCCTCTCTCTCCCGCTCCCTCCTCCGTTCGCACTCGTCTTTCCCAACCGAACGATGTCCCTCATTGCATCCGGTCACGCGCTGCCGAGGCGAGGGCGTCAAGCTCACCCCCCGAGGTCAAGCGGGCTCGCACCGAGGAGCCTCCGACTCCCGCCTCGAGGCCAGCGGTCATCTTGGGCCACGAGCCCCAGGTGCCTGTCGCCGACCGGGTGCGGGATATCGAGGGCAGGCGAGAGCGGAGCCGCTCGCCGTCAGCCCCGACGGGCTGGGAGGAAGAGGACGGAGGGAGGACCGAGGATTTCTTCCTCTTCCCCGGTGGTGGTGTTGGTGGTGGTCTCCTGGCCCGGCCAGTTCAGGAGTACGAGTCAGGCCTCAGAGACAAGGGGGAGGGCACGTTTGTGGCCAGCAGGGGGGGAGAGGTCACCTTGAAGAATTTGAACCCCTCCGAACGTGCCAAGTTCGCCATTTCTGATAAGAAGGAGTGGGACGCGATGATGGCGACCGGAGCCGTCGAAATCATCTCGCCCAAGAGGGCGGACGCGGCGCGCAAGGCACAGCCCGAGCGCATCATCTCGAGTCGGATGGTTCGTCGATGGAAACCAGTAGAGGGGACATTTGCTGACCCGGACGCCAAATCACGCTGGTGCGTGCATGGACATAGAGACCCGGATTCAGGTTCTCTCCAGGTCTACTCCCCCACCCCCCAGACCAGCAGCATCATGATGTTTATACAGATCATCATGAATCTCTCCCTCCTGGCCGACATCGCCGACGTTAAAAACGCGTTCTGCCAGTCAGACCCAATATCACGTCCTCAGGGCGATATATATGTCGAGCCCTGCGACGGTATAGACATACCCAGGGGCAGCCTCATACTCTTGAAGGTGAACGTCTATGGGTTAGACGACGCTCCCGTTGCTTGGAGGAAAACAGTCGTTAACTTTCTTGAGAAACATGGGTTTACTCGATGTTTATTGGGGCCCTGTTGGTGGATCCGGTACGGGCAAAAGGGGGAGGTGTTGAACATGATGTTGCTGGAGGTCGATGACTTCTTTATAGGGAGTTCGTCGGAGGAGTCACGTTCGTGGCTTAGAGGGTTGCTCGAATCCAGATTCAAGTTTGGAAAATATCGTGACCTGCAGGCCGGACCTGTTGAGTATGCAGGGCGCCGGATTTCTCTGAGTGCTCGACGTGCCGTCATCGATCAAGAAAATATATATCTTGGAAGAAATTCGACCACTTCCCCTTGCCCGAGGCCGCCTTGCAAAGAAGGACTCGCCCCTGGACTCTTCCGAGTTCAAGGCTTTACGCTCACTTGTATATAAACTCAACTGGGTGGGTAGGGAGAGCCGCCCCGAGGCGGCAGGAGTCGCCAGTATACTGGCGAGTCGCCTCAAGGCTCCGACTACCGGCGACGTTTCCCTGGCAAATAAGCTCGTCAAGCACTTGAGGACTACGGCCTCGAGGGGCATCACTGTCTGGAAACTGGATCCTGAAAACATGTCATTTATGTCTTTCTCCGACGCCGGCGGTGTAGGTGCCGCCGAGAACATGACAGATGACAAGGGCCTTCCAGAAGACCCTACCCAGGGAGCGTGGATGGTCCTGGCAGCGGACAAGAGCGTGCTGGCGAACCGATCGGTCAAGGCATCCATCTTAGGGTGGAGAAGCTCCAAGTTGCGCAGAAAGGTTCCGTCGACCTTGGCCGGTGAAACACAGGCTCTTTCCTCCGCAGTAGCAGAAGTAGAGTATTTACAAGTCATGTACCGAGACGTGATGTTCAGAGACGTGGACGTCCAGGACTACCACCGGGGCTCTGGACCATTTACGGCAGTGCTCCGGCGTGACTGTCGGTTGGGCGCCCGGGAAGAGCAGGTACATGTAGTAGATGCTAAATCTATTTACGACACGATGCTCAAGGAGGGAAACGCAGGGGCCCGGGACCGAAGAACGGCAATCGACCTGGCCATCATCAGCGAGGCCCTCGAGAGGGCCCAGGGTCGGGTACGATGGGTCCCTCACGGGAGGATGCCGGTCGACGCGGTGACCAAGGACGACGTGTCCAAATGCAACGCCGCACTCTTTGACCTAATGGTCAGCGGTCGTCTGGTTCTAGTTGATGAGCCCGGGGAGTTGGAGCGTCGACGAGAACAGCCCGAGCTTAAAAGTAGGACCCAGGCAGCGTCCAGGAAGGAGTTGGACATGATCACCTGGAAAGACCTCCGCAGTCAGACCCCAGATCCTGGTGGTGGTGGTGACGGTGGTCCTCCTCCTCCTCCTCTCTCTCTCTCTCTCTCTATTCCAATCGTCTGTCTGTCTTCCAGTAGAAACACTTTTCCTTATTCTCCACAGGGGGGTCAGGCAGATCCTGACCAGACAGCTGCAGGCCACAGGGGCCGGCAGCTGGGGGTGCTAAACCTGCTAGAAAGTCTGACCAGTGTGACTGATCAGTAATTTTCTCTATCCGTTGCGTTCAGGTTTAGCGTTTAGTGTGATACGCATGTTTGCATCCGTGGACGGTACTTTGGCTCAAGGGAAAAGTGTCCAGTGTGCTCTGCTGCTGCCACACTCGGTAGTCGAGTGCATTCTAGGTGAGGTCTGGGAGGCGCTGGGCTGGAGAGGATGGAACGGGGGCCTTCCTCGTTGGATGGTTCCAGAAGTTCTAGGTGTCTGGAGGTCTCCAGAAGCGGGGAGACGGAGGAGGGGGAGGGGCGATGGAAGAGGAAGCAGGGGTGAGGGAGGAAGCAGAGTGGACAGAGCCACGAGGTACTTCGAGATCCAATGTACCATACGTAGGCTGAGCCCCATCCTCGCCTAGCTGTCGCTGATACTGGTTTTTGTTCCGCGCCCGTCCCACGGCGAGGACCGCCTATGGACTCCCGAAGGCGGGCGAGGATTCCCGTCCGAATGTTCTACGTACTTCTGGAGCACATTGGCCGTCCTCCTCCTTGGCATCGTCCCCTTGATATCGTGGGTCCAAATGAGGAAGAGGAGGAGGAGTCGGAGGAGGAGGAGGAGGAGGAGGAGTAGGAGGAGGGGGAGGGAGGTGTCCGCGGGGCAGGACGTACTAGACGAAGCGAGACGAGGGAGGCCGAGGAGGTTCGGAGTGCGAAGCAGGAGAATGTGGAATGAGAGATGGACGGATGAGTGGATGGGGAGGAGGGGAGGAAGAGTTGGAGAGAGGGAGGAGGAGGAGGAGGAGGAGGAGGAGGAGGAGGAGGAGGAGGAAGAGGAGGAGGAAGGAGGAAGGAGGCGGAGGAATTCTCCGGAAGTCTTCGTGCCCTTTGGGTAGGCAGAAGCCCCGGAGGCCACGAGAGGACCAGAAGGGGCCAGCACACGCCAAGAGTTTCGATCCTCGATCCTCGAGGAGGTGGAGGGGGGAGGATGGACGACCAGCACGAACAGTCCGACTCCTGCCTCGCTCTATACCTTTTCTAAGAGCGACGGCAGGCGGCCGCGCACTCGCACGGGGGAGGCCCCGCCTCTGCCCGCTGCTCCCGGGTGCCTGCTGCCGCCCGCCACTGCGCGGCATTGCCTGCGGGCTGCCCGCCGGAGGCGCTCCGTGGGCTCGGAGGGGGGCCCACGTCGGTGCTCGCCCCAATCTCGGAGCGTGGATGCTGCCCCTGTCAGCATCCGACTCCAGCAGCGCGGCCGGGCACTCCGACGAGGAGCCTCCGTGGCAGTTCCCAGACAAGCAGCGCAGAACTCTCGAAGTGTGGGCCCCGCACCTCACACGTCCGAGGTAGAAAGCCTCCTCATCATCCAAGAAAGGGAACAGAAAGAGCCTGTGCCCCCCCAGGCACTTGAACTAAACAAGAACTGTTGTGGCCTGGGCAGGCAAGCCTCGATGCTGTCGTTGCACGCCCACGCCAGGCACCCCGCACACACCCGCTTTGTCCGCCACCAGAACACGGCGTGGGCGGGAGATTCCTGTCCATCTCCCTCCCAGGGCGGGGGACGACGACGACCACGAGACCCCGACGGAGGAGGAGGAGGAGGAGGTGAAGTTGGGGCGGCTGCCGACAAAACGGCGGCCTCCTCCTTGACAGGTTGCGCCACGATGGCTCGAGCAGCCTGCACACCCTCTGGACCTTAACCCTGGGCATCGAACCCCTCTTGAACTTGTGTTTGCTGGCGCGTGTGGTTGCCAAGAGGGGCCACAAGAAATGCCTACATGCCTCCTCCTCCTCCTCCTCCTCCTCCTCCTCCTCCTCCTCCTCCTCCTCCCCCCTCCCCCCATCCCCCTTCCCTCCTCCCTCCTCCTTCCTCCTTCCTCCTCCTCCTCCTCCTTCTCCTCCTCCGTCGCTTCTGCCTGGTGCTCGTGGTGACGACGACGAGAACGACAACGACGACGACGACGACGAGCCCAGACGTCGTGAACCTTCGCCTGGGGGCAGTTTGCCAACGCGGATCCGTTGTGGAGTGATCCGTGACTGAGCGCCCTTTGTGGCCGTAACAAGCGACAAAGTTTGTCTTAAGTCGGGCGTGTCCATCTACTGGAGGAATATTCAGAAATATTCGAAACAAAAATAGTCGGGGGAGGATGCTTGTCAGTATTTTGTGACTATTTCTGAGTGCGTTTTGAACATGTTCAATTTTTCGCCCAAAATCCCCCTGTAGGGGGACTGGCCCGACCTAAAGCTTGTCGTGCCTCGGCGGCTTCGACGGCAGCGGCGACGACGTGACGTCGCAAGACCCGCGCGCGGCGCCAGGAGAGCTTCCACCGCGGATCCGGTGCCGAGGTCCCCACGCCCGAGGGCCGACCCCAGAGGCCGGAACTGGCGCCAACGGTTTCTCGGCACCTCGCGACGGCGACGTTCTGAGCCCCGCGCGCGACGCCACGCCAGGAGAAGCGTGCCGCGCAGGTTGTCATGAAGGACCCGCGGCGAGGGGGCCCCGCCCGCACGCGGGGGGCTCACAGAACCCCTCGGGCCGTGACGAGGCCAACAAAAACGACAGGAGGTGTGCCGCGAGCTTCGACTTCTGGAGGCCCTTCCCAGCCCTCGCGGCAGTCAAAAGTTCATTCCAGATGAAAAGTCAGAGGAGGAGCAGGTACCCATACCGCCACCCTTCGCCCCGTTTCCCCTCATTTTGGGTCTCCTTGGAGGCCCTCGTCGCCACCGCTGGATTCGCTTCGAAATCCTGGTCACAACGCACCCCGGGAGAGGTCGGGGGGATAGCGATATCGTCATCTTTTTACCTCCGCGAAAAGCCCGTCCTCGGGAAGGGGTCCAGATCGGACAGGGCTAGGACGAGGATGAGTCCGCTCCAGAGCGTTGGCGCTCTGAGAAGGCCGTGGCGCCCGAGACATTCTCCAGAACCGCCGGATCTCAGAGATTCTCGATATATCCGTACCCAATTCTATCCTCGTCCTGGCTTCGTCTTGCCAGACCTCTGGGGGTCCACGTTATGGACAAGATCGGGACGTCCGGAGTCTACGGGGGACTTGCACCCGGGCTTGGCCCGTGTGGGCTGGGAGGGCTGGCGCGCGCTTAGGGGTTTGGGGGCGGTGGCGTCAGGCCCACGTCTCCGACGGCCGGAGTTTCAGTCCCGGCGTGTTTCCTCGATGCTGGCCTCGAGGGTCCGTCGATCGGGGGCGGCTAAGAGGGGGGTTGGCGGGGGCCATGATACCTTCCCAGATTTCGTGGTGCCGCTTGTTATTTCAATGCGTCCCTTGCCCCGCCCTGGGCCGCGCATATGCCACCAGCCATAATTTGCGCCCCTCCCCTCTTGGACGCCCCCTCTCTTTGGCTCTCCCCCTCCTCCTCGTCCTCCTCCCTCCTCCTCCTCCCCCCTCCTCCTCCTCCTCCTCCTCCTCCTCCTCCTCCTCCTCTCCTCCTCCTCCTCCTCCTCCTCCTCCCCTCCTCTCCCCTCCTCCTCCTCCTCCTCCTCCTCCTTCTCTTCCCCCTCCTCCTCCCCCTCCTCCTCCTCCTCCTCCTCCTCCCCCTCCTCCTCCTCCTCCTCCTCCTCCTCCTCCTCCTCCTCCTCCTCTCTCCTCCTCCTCCTCCTCCTCCTTCTCCTCCTCCTCCAATGCGTGCTGCAGTCAACCTGCATCGTGAGGATTGGCAACTTTCTAATGGTATCCTTGCATCCATGTCTTTTCTCGAAGAAGAGAAAACAAGTCATATACATACCTTTTGGCGCTTCGCGCGGATTTCTTGGATCCGCGCTGGGCCCCCCCGGCGGCGCCTCCGGCGCCGCCCCTACCGCGGTCCGCGCGGAGCGCCAAAAGTTTATGTTTATAGCGTTGTCTCTTCTTCGAATCCTTCCCTTTCGGCTCATTCTTGGCCGCTTCGCCGGTCGCGCCCCGCTCGCAGAGTGTCGGCATGGCCTTCCAAGGCCCTTGCATTCTTGTCGTGCGACCTCATTTTACGGCTCGACTGTGCTACACCCATGGAGGCAGGAGGGTTGGCGCGCGTCTCGGTCAGATCGAAGTGGACAGAAAGAGTTTGGGGGTCTCGCCAACAAAAAGATCGTTACGGTATAGGTGTTCCATCGTCTTCGCCCTTTGCGAACCGTTGCCCGACCCGGGACCGTCAAAGACCGCTTCCGGACGAAAATGCGGCCTACGGGACGTGGCCGAAGCCCACGGGGCCGATGCAACATCCGCCCGGTGTCATCTTTGTTTCAATTACCCAAACGATGCTTGCACTCTGTCAGAGATTATCACTTGCCTTACCTCGGGAATCGGACGGGTCCGCCGAGCTTACAGTTGTGGGCAACGTCTGGGAGCCCCGTTCGTTGGGTTGCTCCGCTTGGCCTTCGCCTGGTGCCCCGTTGGTGGCCGGCCGTGGGCGTTTCGTGGGCACCACACGTGCGTTGCGTGGGTCGGCCAGGCCGTCGGGTTGGCGTTTTGGCGGGTGGCCGGCCGCGGGTGTCTTCGTATTTTAGTCGGGCCTGTCCCTCTACGGGGGGGAAGATTCCAAACACAGTTCAACAAATAGTCTGGGTACGATGTGTTGATCATGTTTGAGTATGTGTTGTGCATGTTGCTGGTACTTTCTAACTTCTCGTCCAGAATCCGCCTGTAGATTGCACAACATCATGTTGACCACGTAGCTTACACCACATAGCTTGCACGGCGTAGCATTCACCACCATATTCCCTACGTAGCCTGCACCACCTAGCTTACACCGCACAGCTTGCAACGCACGGCGTGCACACCATAGCTTGTACCACGTAGCGTGCGCCACACAGCTTGCACCACATAGTTCATACCACACTTTGCTTGCATTGCGACGCTTGCACCGCATTGGTTGTACCACATAGCCTACACAACATAGTTTGCACGGCACAGCTCACGCTACATAGTTTGCATCAAAGATCTGGCACATCCACTCATTGTTTCGAGTCAATGCAGGCAAACCTATTTTCAAGACAGTGCTTGCACTGACGGGCTCACTTGCCTTAATCATGGGATGGGTATGTCGATATTTCGCCTGGCGAGCTGCCTTGGCCACCTTATGGGCGCCCCGTGTGCTGGCTGGGTGTGCCGAGGCTTTGCCTGGCGAGCGGCCATGGGCGCCTCGTTGGCGCCCCGTGCGCTGGCGGGCGCCTCGTAGTCGCCCCGTGCGCTGGGTTTGTCGAAGTCTCGCCCGGTGGGCAACCGCCGACGCGTCGCGCAGCTTGCACCACATCGCTTATCTTAAGTTCAGAGGAGGAAAAGGTACCCATACCTCTACCCTTTCCTCGTTTTCCCCTTTTCTGGGCCTCCTCGGAGGCCCTCGTCGCCACCGTCGGATTCGCCTCGGAATTCTGGTCAGAACGCACCACGGGCGAGGTCCGGAGAGTAGCGGTATTGGTACTTGTCGAATTGTTGTCGCTTCGCGAATCCCCACCAGCCCATCCAGAAACGATGCCCAGAGGAATTGCCTCGATCAGAGAAGTGGGCAGCACACAGAGGAAGCCATTATGAGACATCTTGGGATATCTTGAGCCATCTTGGAGGTCATTTTGGGCTCTCCCAGACGCTCTTGGAGTCATCTTAATCCGTGCCCCCCCCCAAGAGGCCTCCATGTGGCTAAAACCTGTGTAGAATCAATGATTAGGCATTCTCGCCGAGGCCTCTTGGAGCATCTTGGGTGCATCTGGGGGGGCTCTTGGGGCCTCTTGGGGGTCTCTTGGGGGCCTCCGGGGGGCCTCTTGGGGGCCTCTTGGGGCCATTTTGGGGCCATCTTGGGACCTCTTGGGGCTTCCTGGGCGCTTCTTGGGGCCATCTTGGAGGAGATCGATCAAACAAGAGGGGGGGTTTAATTAGCGTCCCCCCTCGGAAGCCCCTAAAATCGCCTCTTGGACCCCTCTTGGAACGCTCTTGGAGTGCTCTTGGGCGCTCTTGGGGCCGTCTTGGGGCTCTTTTGGGGCTCTCTTGGGGCCCTCTTGGGCCATCTTGGAACCATCTCCAGGCCTCGGATGGCCATCGGAAGCGAAAAGGCGAGAAAGCAAAAATCATTGATTTTCCTTAGGTTTTGGGACGATTTTGGCCTCTTCGGGGCCTCCTTGGGGAGCTGTTTGGCCACTTGGAGTTATCTTGGGGCCGTCTTTGGGCTTCTTGGAACCATCTTAGGAGCCATCTCGAGCGATCTTGCGCTATCTTGAGCCATCTTGGAGCTCATCTTGGGTTCTCTGAGGCGCTCTTGGAGCCGTCTTGGGCCATCTGGGACGCTCTAACTACCCGCGGCCCCCCCCGTCCAGGTCCAGGGGAGGGGGTAGGGGGAGGGGTAAACCCCTCCCCAAGGGGGAAGAGGGAGGGGTGGAAGAGGATCTGCTCTAGACCACCTACGCCCAGAGGGCTGGTGGGATTTCCCATGAGTAGCTTACATGGTTCCCAACCATCCTGTGTTGTTCGGTCTTCATTTTCAAGAGACAGCGCCCCGCATTCACTCCTCCCGCTGCCTCCTGCCCCCTCATCTTCCATCCGTGCCTCTCATCCAATCGTTGCCTCTGTTCTCCGCATGTCCATTTCGGCAAACCCCTCACACGTTTCCGTGGCCGCATGGGGAGCTCCACCGAAGGCCCGAGTGGCAGGGTCCGCATGGCGCCGCCGCCACATTTCGGCACACCCCCTCATACGGTTCGCGGCCCCATAGGGAGCCCCACCGAAGGCACCAGCGGCAGAGTCCGCATGGCGCCGCCGCCCCGTGTCGGCACGCCCCCTCACACGGTTCGTGGCCCCATGGAGAGCCCCACCGAAGGCCCCAGCGGCAGGGTCCGCAGGTCGCCGCCGCCCTTTTCGCATAGCACACGGTTCGTGGCCCCGTAGGGAGCCCCACCGAAGGCCCGAGTGGCAGGGTCCGCATGGCGCCGCCGCCCCATTTCGCACACCCCTCACACGGTTCGTGGCCCCGTAGGGAGCCCCACCGAAGGCCGCAGTGGCAGGGTCCACATGGCGCCACCGCACCATGTCGGCACACCCCTCACACGCTTCGTGGTCCCATCGGGAGCCCCGCCGAAGGCCTCAGTGGCAGGGTCCGCATGTCACCGCCACCAATGCCGGCACTCCCCTGACACGGTTCGTGGCCCCATAGGGAGGTTCACCGAAGGCCCCAGTAGCACAGTGTACATGTGTCCCCGCCAGCCATTTCCGCACACCCCTGACACGGTTCGTGGCCCCATAGGGAGCTCTACCGAAGGCCCCAGTGCCACCGTCCACATGCGTCCCTCCCACCCGCTTCGGCACACCGCTTCCCACGTTTCGTGGCCCATAGGGAGCTCCACCGAAGATGATATTTACAATCGCGTTACTCACAATTGCATATGGTTGGGTTCTTCGCCAGGCTAATTTTGCTTACACCTCGAAGCTTACCTTACATACCTAGTAGCTGGCGCCACACCGCATCTTTTCCGCCAGTACCTAGCTTGTCTCACAAAGCCTGCAAGACATAGCTCGCACCACGGATTGCTTGCACCACATTGTTTGCAGCGCGCATCGGTTGCACCACCTCGCGTGTACCACACAGATTTCACTCCCGAAGTGCACGAGCTCCCTGTTTTGGTTTCAAGCTGGCAATCATATGTTGAGGAAGACTCTGGGGAGGCCCTCCAGCAGTAGCCGCCCTCGAACAGTAACCGCCGTCCATCGCATGCACCGTCCAGTTTGCACACCCAGAGTGCAATAGCTCCGTGTTTGGGGCCCACGCTAGCAATCATGTGTGGATGAAATCTCAGTGGAGGCCATTTCTTCAACAGGAACCGCCCTCCATCCGTACTCGACCGGCGGCGACCCGCCAGCGGCGTTCAACATTGAAGGCCGCGGGCGACCCAGAACCCGGAATCATTTGATGTGGAACGATTTGGACGCTTCGGAAACGGCCGATCGCTCAAGGTTGAACGATTCCCGCGGTATCAGAAACCAACGCCGAAGTCGGCACGACACGAACCTGACGTAGCTGGTGGGACGTTTTGAGACGAGTACCTGCGGCGCCAAGGCAAGAGCCCCCTGACGAGCCTCCTGGCGCGCGGCTGTCGGACCTCTGGCGTTGTTTGGTTGGGACGAGCTGGTGCAGCCCCGAGGCGAGAGCCCCATTCAACTCCATCCTCCACGATCCACCCTCCACGATTCACGATCCACCCTCCTCCTCCTCCTCCTCCTCCTCCTCCTCCCCCTCCTCCCCCTCCTCCCCCTCCTCCCCCTCCTCCCCCTCCTCCCCCTCCTCCTCCTCCTCCTCCTCTTCCTCCTCCTCCTCTTCCAATGAGTGCTACAGTCAACCTGCATCGTGAGGATGGGCAACTTTCCAAGGGTGTCCTTGCAACCTTTCCTAGCAGCTTTCCAAGGGTGTCCTTGCAACCTTTCCTTTCGCGAAGAAGAACAACCACACACACATAAGCTTATGGCGCTCCGCGTGGATTTCTTGGATCCGCGCCGGGGCCCCCCGGCGGCGCCTCTGGCGCCGCCCCTGGCGCGAGAATCCAAGAAATCCGCGCGGAGCGCCCAAAGAGTATGTGAATGGCGTTTTTTCTTCTTCTAATTTAGCGCCACCCTCCACGATCCACACTCCACGATCCACCCATTCAGCCCCGAGGCGAGGCCGAACACGAAACGCCATCCACTCGTGTAGCTATTGTACGGTCGGACGAGAGGGCGGGGTGTGGGAAGAGGGGTACGACATCTGCTGCTTGCAGCTGGTTCCGGCCTTGTCTCCAGGCGCATTCCTCGATGCGTTGGCGCTGCTGGCGCCAGGACAACCAGCTACGTGAGCTGATTCCGACCCCCTCCCCTCCTTGGCTCCCCGCACCTCCGTCGTCCGACCTGGTGCTGAAACGTCCACGGTGCGGAAGTCTCGGGCGTAATGCCCCGTCCGCCCTGACGACACGCTTGGTGAAGCAGGGAAGATATGGTCAAGACGTTAAGGACGTTGGAGGGAGGAACACTCTGGGTCTCGGGAGGGGCTCTGGTTTTCGGGCCGTCCCTTGGATCGATGTTGGTGAACCGTTTCGTGGCCGGGGCTCGCCGTGGCCATGAAAGGCCTTTTCGTCCCTGGTTCAGCGTCCCTTTAAGGAGCAGCGCTGTGGCGGCGAGTGGAGCCTGCTAGCTTCCCTCCCCCGCCCTCGTTCCCGCTTCTCCCCCTCCAGATTCGCGCGCAGGGAAGGGCCTGCCGTGGTGTGCGTCTGTTGGCTCCTGCTCTCAGCGCCGCGATGGCAGTCTCGAGTTGCGCCAGCACCTGGGGCGACGCGCTCACTGAGAAACATGCGTCGTGGCGGGCGCTTTCTGGCCACACTGCTCGGGAAACGATAGACTACAAAATGGGTATGCTGTATGTTCGGGTCGGGCGCCTCCAAGGAAAACATGTGGTATTAGTATGTCTCCTGTGCGTCCCATACGAGCTGGAGGTTGGTATAAACTCCCACCCTGCCAGGACGACTTGCGAATGACCCTTGTGCCGAGTCTCGAGTCTCTCGAGAGGGCGCCGCACCCGCAGTTTTTTCCCAACCATCCCGTGGTGTTGGGTCCTCGTTTTGAAGAAACGGTCCCCGCGTTCCTTCTTCCTCCTTCTCCTCGCCTTCCTCCCTCCTGCGCTCGCATGCCTCCCCACCACCCATTTCGGCACACCCCTCACACGTTTCGTGGCCCCATACGCAGCTCCACCGAAGGCCCCAGTGGCTGCGTTCGCATGCCTCCCCACCACCCATTTCGGCACACCCCTCACACGTTTCGTGGCCCATGGGGAGCTCCACCGAAGGCTCCAGTGGCTGCGTTCGCATGCCTCCCCACCACCCATTTCGGCACACCCCTCACACGTGGCCCCATTGGGAGCTCCACCGGAGGCCCCAGTGGCTGCGTTCGCGCCTCCCCACCACCCATGTCGGCACACCTCTCACACGTTTCGTGGCCCCATAGGGAGCTCCACCGAAGGCCCCAGTGGCAGGGTTCGCATGCCTCCCCACCACCCATCTCGGCATACCTATCACACGTTTCGTGGCCCCATAGGGAGCTCCACCGAAGGCCCCAGTGGCAGGGTTCGCATGCCTCCCCACCACCCATTTCGGCACACCCCTCACACGTTTCGTGGCCCCATAGGGAGCTCCACCGAAGGCCCCAGTGGCTGGTTCGCATGCCTCCCCACCACCCATTTCGGCACACCCCTCACACGTTTCGTGGCCCCATAGGGAGCTCCACCGAAGGCCCCAGTGGCAGGGTTCGCATGCCTCCCCACCACCCATTTCGGCACACCCCTCACACGTTTCGTGGCCCCATAGGGAGCTCCACCGAAGGCCCCAGTGGCAGGGTTCGCATGCTTCCCCACCACCCATTTCGGCACTCCCCAACACCCATTTCGGCACACCCCTCACACGTTTCGTGGCCCCATAAGGATCTCCACCGAAGGTCGGGGGGAGCTTGACACTGGTATCCTTGCGGTACTCGCAGCTGCATATGGTTGGGTCCTTCGCCAGGCAATTTTTTTTGTTTTCTGCGGGCCTGCGCGCGCCGGGGTTGGGTCCCGTGCCGTTTTCGCGACAGGGTGATTTGCCAAGGAGACCATGTCTACCCCGGAAAGGAGGAGGAGGAGGAGGAGGACGAGGAGGAGGAGGAGGAGGACGAGGAGGACGGGGAGGAGGAGGAGGAGGAGGACGGGAGGAGGGGAGGAGGCAGGGGAGGAGGAGGAGTGGGAGGGGGTGGAGGTGGAGGAGGAGGAGGAGAGGAGGAGGAGGTAGAGGAGGAGGAGGTGGAGAGGAGGAGGAGGAGGAGAGAAGGGAGGAGGGAGGAGGAGGGGTGGAGGAGGGAGCAGGAGCAGGAGGAGGGGGAGGAGCAGGAGAGGAGGAGGAGGAGGAGGAGGAGGAGGCGGGAGGTGGAGGAGGAGGCGGAGGAGGAGGAAAAGCAGGAGGTGGAGGACGGAGGAGGTGGAGGAGGAGGAGGGGAGAGGAGGAGGAGGAGGAGGGTGGAGGGGGACGGGGAGGGAGGGGGACCTGGAGGAGCTCCCCTTGTCCTCTCCGCCCTTGCGCTCCCCAGAAGGAGGAGGAGGAGGAGGAGGAGGAGGAGGAGGAGGAGGAGCAGGAGCAGGAGGAGGAGGGGGGGGGACCAGGAGGGAGCTCCCCTTGTCCACTCGCCCCTCGCGCTCCCCAGAACTCCGCGGCGCCTCGACACTTCACTCCCAGGAACGGGCCCCCCTCCCTTTCGGCCCGCTTTCCCGGGGCCGTCGCTTCGTCCTTGGCCCTCCATTGGCATTCCAGGGGCCTCGGGCCGGAGGCCCAGCATGGCGAACAATTGGCCGCCTGGAGTCCTGGCTCGAGCTGGTGGAGGTCTGGGCCCTGTCTCGGCCCGCGCTCGCGCCAGGGAGTCGGGGTTCCTTCTCGGTGTCGTCCTCGTTCCTCGGAGGAGGAGGGCGCCGTTGAGCTCTCTTCCTCGCCTGCGTAGGGTCATGGTCTACGTTGTGCTATCTTTCTCTCTCTCTCTCTCACTCTCTCTCTCTCTCTCTCTCTTTCCGCAGTCCTACAGCACGAGGTCCCAAGTTGGTTCTCGGGTGTTGCTGGTGGTGCGAACTCGGGCTCCATGTACATACGGTCTGTACGAGTGGTAGAACAGCCCTGGCTTTCAGAACGCCCCGTGTGTTCTGTTATTTGCACTTATTCCATGTGCTCTCCACCTTGAAAGTCTGCGCTTCGGGTATCCTTGCGAGGGGCACCGCGCCTTCGGCGAGAGTGGGGGGGGGGCTGGTGCTCTGGACTCACGCTTTTGTGACCATGTTCCGACGCTGCGAAGCCAGGCAGCAAGAGCTGGTCCCCGCAGCGCCCGCTGGGCCTTCCAAGATCTCTGGCGTCGTGCTTTTGTCCGCGACGTGCACCCCCGAGGCGTGCTTCCGTCCGCGGGACCGGCGTTTCCGTCCGAGTGGTTTTTCACGGTCCAACAGGATCGACTAGACGTAAGAGTGACTTTTCGTTAGAGTGTGAGTTTTGTTCTGCCGGCCCACTGGGGTCCCCGATCGCCGAGCGCGGTGCGTTAGCAGCGGCCTGCGCGCTCGAGGTTAGCCCCCCGGCGGCCCTCAAAAAGCCGCGCACTCTTACCCAGGGACATTCCCGCGTGCAGCCGACACGTGTTTTACAGTCCAACGGGAACATTCCGTCTGGATTCCTCGCCGCGCGAGGAGAGGGCCCTCGCCCTCCTCCCGAGCCCCCCCCCCCCCCGCAGGAGCTCGGGCCCTACTCGACGGCCTGCGGCGGCCCGCTGGCGGGCGCGCGCGCGGGAGTGCGCCCAGGGTGTGTCGTCTGCGTTTAGGTTTTTTTTTTTTTTTTTCTTTTTTTATTTTTTTTTTTTTTTCTTGTTTTTTTTTTTTTTTTTTGTTTTTTTGTATTTTGTTTTTTTTTTATTTTTTTTTTTTTTTTTTTTTTTCTTTTTTTTTTTTTTTTTTTTTTTTTTTTTTTTTTTCTTTTTTTTTTTGCTTTTTTTTCTTTTTTTTTTTTTTCTTTTTTTTTTTTTTTTTTTTTTTTTTTTTCTTTTTTTTTTTTTTTTTTTTTTTTTTTTTTTTTTTTTTATTTTTTTTGTTTTTTTATTTTTTTTTTTTTTTATTTTATTTTTTTTTTAGTTATTTTTCTATTTTTTTTTATTTTTGTTTTTTCTTTTTTTTTTTTTTTTTTATTTTTTTTTTTATTTTTTTTTTTTGTTTTTTTTTTTTGTTTTTTTTTTTCTTTTTTTTTTTTTTCTTGGCCGCCGCCCCATCTCCGCCCCCCCCCATGGCCGCCTGGAGTCCTCGTGCTCTAGGCCTCCCAGATGGGATCCGAGCAGATGTGGTCGGAGGATTGCGCCGTATCTCATTCTACTCCTCCTCCTGCTCTTCCTCCTCCCCCTCCTCCTCCTCCTCCTCCTCCTCCTCGGTCCTGCGCCTCCGTGCAAAGTGAATGCTCTAGGCTTCCCCGGCGGGGTCCGATTAGATGGGGTCGGAAGATCGCGCCACATCGCCGATGCATCGCCGATGCGGCTCGACGTGCAGCCCGATTTGCTTCGCGTCGACGTCGCCGATGCAACGCAGATGCATCGCCGATGCATCGGCGATGCGGCGCGATCCTCCGACCCCATCTCCTCGGATCCCATCTAGGCGGCCTCTACGTACTGCGGTGGCCACACCAGGGCTCGAGCCAGGCGGTGTCTTCTGGCGGGCCCGAAGATCCCCGCGCCGCACCGTGCGCCGCACCGCTGCCGCACCGGCGGTGCGGCGGCGCGGTGCGGGGCCCGATCTTCGCCATCCCCAGCGCTTCCGAGGCGTCGCTGCAAGGTCGGTCCAGAAGGCCGACTTCGGGCTCAGAGTCGGGGGCTCCCAAGCGGGGGTGTGACCGCACCGTGCGGTGAGTCGGTGGGGATTCGGGGTCACCGCACGGTTTTGGGACTCGGGTCGTCCTCCGAGGACGTCTCGGGCGACTGGGGCATCCGAGGTCCCAACACCGTGCGCTGACGGACCATGCTGTGAGGTCTTGGGGGGTTTCGAGGTCACCACACGGTCTGTCACCGCACCGTTTCGGGACTCCAAAGGTTCCTCGGGAGAGGTCCTTCGGGGCCGGCGACTGGGAAGCAGGGCTCGAGGTGAACGGCGTTCGGGCGATGTCGTGGGCCGTTTTCGTAGTGGCTTCATCTCGCGGCAGAGGCGGGAAGAGGACAGAAGGGGAGGAACAACGAAAACAGCACGAAAACGAGAAGCGCTGGTTGGCTCGAGCCATTGGCCAGACCGTCGGGTGTTGCCAGGGGTGTCCCTGACCCAGGGTGCGCCCAGGAATTCCCGCGATGCCCTGAGATGGCCTCCTGTTTTTTTCGTTTAACTAATCCCCAGCCCCATCCCCTTCGAGACCCCCACCAAATTTCCACCCCAGTTGGGGATACACCTCTCGAAACCCAAAGGGAACGACCCATATCCCCATCTAGGGGGTAAATCGTCCAGTGGGGCCCAGGCCACGCCGCCGGGGATGGAGATCGGTTCAACGATACTCATCCAGAGGCATCCAGCACGAGGGTCAGAGGGCCGCTGGGCTTCCAAGATGGGCGCGAAGTGCTAGGGTGCACCCTGGCTTGAGTCGGGCGTGTCTCTCTACAAGAGGCATATTAAAGATAATGCAAACAATAGTTAGGGGACGATTGTCTGACAATTTTCGAATATTGCTAAGGCCTTACGGCTGGTGCCGCCGACCCTGGAGGCCTCGGCCCTCGACGGAAATGGGAGGGAGAGGGCGGGCCATGGGCCCCGGGAGGGTGGTATTCTGACCCGGGACTCACCTTGGGACCCCCTTTCCGGGACCCCCCCCTTCGAGTAAACACCGACGTTGCTCAGATTGGCTTCCCCTCCGCGTCGCGGTCGCTCCCCTCCCCCGAGGGAGCCGCCTCGGTGCCGAGCGAACCCACATTAAGAAGTTGAAACGCACTTGGGACTATCTGTCCAGAGCTGTTCAGATTTCTGGGATTGCGGGACAGGTCATTGAGCCCCCACCCATGCCGCCAAAGCTCTTACAGTTTAGGTAAGTCGGTCACGTTTGTACAGCACGATCTTTTGTTCATCCCAGCCCGCCAGGAGTGGACATGCCGTAACTGCAACGTGTCTGCCACCACAGAGTACACTCTTAAAGGGCTTCGCACTGGTGCCAGTAAGTGCTGCCAGCCCGATGAGATACAGGCGTGGCGAGCGCGTGAGTTTTTCAGCCAGCACGAATCCACCCCAGGCGACCCGTCTGTTCAGGTTGCCCTTGCTGCTGCTGATGCTGCCTTTCCTCAGAGGGGGCTCTCCTGGAGGCGCGGTGTCTGACCAGCAGGCAGCGTTTTCATTAGAGCCTGAGTCGGCCGACCTTGGTTTGCCTCTTTCCTCTTCTGGGGCCCTGGGGCCTTCCTCTTCCTCTTCCTGCCCCAGACCAAGAGAGTCGGCCTCTGACGATGGCCTCGGTGTCTTTCGAAAGTTGCAGCATCGCCCGATCAGATACGGGCGAGTAATTATAGGCCAGTCTTGTGCCTGCTCTCTCGTGCTCCCCGATGGCTTTTGTCGGGGACTCAGCAAGGAATGTCGAGGTGAGTCGCGAGTCAAGTCCACGCGCGCTGGGCACCTCAGGATGCTGGCGCTCGCTGCACGTGGCAAGCACCCCAGGACGGGTGCTACCTTGCCTCTTCTCCCCCCCCCCCCCCCCCCCCCCCCCCCCCCCGAGGCGCAGGCCTCCGCCCCTCCATCCGCCCCGAGTGGCCTGTTGCAGCAGGTCGCCGCCGCCCCGAGCCTCGAGGAGGCGGCTTGCTTCTCTTGGGGGACGGCGGGGGTGGTGGCGGGAGGTGGGGATTCCGACAGCTCTGACTGAGCGTGCGTGGCCCTGGCCTTGTAACCCCTTAAGGCCCAGGGCCACGCTCTCCATTTCGTTGGGCTCGGCGTCTTGATCGAGCCCACCTCTCTCTTTTTCTGTGCTCTGTGCTATCGTCTTCTCGACTGCACTGCTGCATGCTCGCTCGCCCCTCCCACCTCGGAGGGAAGGGATAAAAGGGAAGGGGTCTCCCTTCGAGTAAGCTACGACGTTGCTCAGATTGGCTTCCCCCCCCGGGTCGCGGCCGCTCCCCTCCGCGTCGCGGCCGCTCCCCGTTAAGGATCCGCCAGGGTGCCCCCCCCTCCCCGGCGCATCCAGGTGCCCCCCCCCCTTCCCCCCCCTCGGGGGGAAGGGCTAGCAGGGAAAGGGCTTCCCTTCGAGTGAGCTAAGACGTTGCTCAGATTGGCTTCCCGTGTCCGGGGGAGAGCAGATTGGCTTCCCCCCCTGGTCGCGGCCGCTCCCCTCGCGTCGCGGTCGCTCCCCTCCCCCGAAGGGAGCCGCCCGGGTGCCCCCCTTCCCCCGCCCTGGCTTCCCCCCTCGGGTCGCGGCCGCTCCCTTCCGCGTCGCGGCTGCTCCCCTCCCCCGAAGGGGGCCGCCCGGGTGCCCCCCCCCCCCCCCCCGCGCATAACGGGTGTGACCCCCCCCAGCCCGTGGCTTCCCCCCTGGGTCGCGGCCGTTCCCCTTCTCGTCGCGGCCGCTCTGCCCCTCCCCCATGGGAGCCGCCAAGGTGCCCCCCTCGGTATCCGGTGTGCCCCCCCCACCCACCACAGCTGGTTTCCCCCGGGTCGCGGCCGCTCCCCTCCGTGTCGCGGCCGATCTCCTCCGGGGAGCTGCCAGGGCGCCCCCCCCCCCCGCCATATCCGGGTTGCGACCCCCCCCCCCTCACCTCCCCCCCATCTCCCACCCCCCTCGGAGGGAAGGGATAAAAGGGAAGGGGCCTCCCTTCGAGTAAACTGCGACGTTGCTTAGATTGGCTTCACCCCGTGTCCGGGGGGGGGGCATATTGGCTCCCCCCCCCAGGTCGCCCACCCCTCTTGGAGCCGACGTGACAGACGATCTCGTGGGCGACGACGACCCACGCAAGATGACGAGACTAGGATACGTCTTCCACACGCCGACAGGGTCGGCGGATTTTTGCAGTATTGTGTGACTATTGTGGATTCTTCGTCCAACATCCGCCTGTCGGAGGACATGCCCGACCTAATACTAGGTGCACCTTGCCACCTCTGTCCGAGGTGAGTCAGTGGGGATTCCATCCAGATGAGCGGACGGTCTGCGGACTTTGTTGGCGATTCCCCGGGGATGTCTCGGGGAAGGGGGGCCTCCAAGGTTCCAAAGTCGTGCGGTGACGGACTTGCGTTAAGTTGTTTGGGGGCCCGATGTCATCGTCCGGTCTGTCACCACACCGTGTAGGGTTTTTCTGTCAAAAACCGTTGATCGTTTTCTCCTCCTCCGCGTTCGATCTCCGAACCGAACCTCCTTTCAAGCGGCGGGTGCAGTCCCATCGTTTTCTCATCCTGCGGTCCAAGCGGTCCTGCTGCGGCTGGCTGCGGTCCAGGCAGGCCTGCGGCGGTCCGACGCGTCCTTCGGCTTCGCCTATCTGGCCTCCTGGGGGGGCGCCCGAGGTCGAGAACACATCTACCACTACTCGCAACCCATGCACAGGAGAAAGGATGAGGCTTCTCCGAGCATGGGAACGCTGCTACACGCTGACCGAGGCGCTCCAAGAGACCCCGATCGAGCCTGGTGCGACCGGAGCACACAGGGCACCCTCCCACAGGCCCGGAAGACGCCGTGGAGAGCCCCATCCGACAGTCTCGGCACCTCCGAACGGAGCCTGTGCGGGCCTTCTCGTGCTCCAGTCAGGATAGCACTTTGCATGAGTTTCAGTGTAAAAACCGTCCAAGGCTATGGCCCAAAACTCGACCCCTTGGGGAGGTCGGAGGCGACGGAGCCCAGAGGGGACCCATGAGGACCCCAAGGCGCTCCCCAGACGCCGAAGCCATGAACACTCCCAAACCAGCCCTGGACAAGTCCCGTATAGGATGCTTGAAACAGGACCCGTCCATGAAAATGTGGTTAGCTCTTCTCATCGACCTCATTCTCCTCTCCTACACCTCATCCTCTCCACCTCTTCTTTCTCCTCGACTCTTCCAGCACCTTCCTCCTCCTCTTCCTCCACCTCTCCTCGTCCTCCTCCTCATCCTCTTCCTCCTCCTCCTCCTTCTTCTTGTCCCTCCCCACGGCCCGAGGATTGAGGTTCTGAAACACTTCTGGGCCCCTGAAATCATACCCACATCGTGGCAGCGTAAAGCTGTTTAGGGTCCTCTGCCGCAAGGGTGTCATTGTCCCACACCCCCAGTTCACGCGTTCGCTGGAGTAGTGCAATCGGTCGGACACCCGCGAGGAAGGTGACATCGTCACCCGATTACTTCTATGATTGTTCATGCCCTGCCCTTCCTTTCCCTCACCCTCTCGCCTTTCTCTGCCTCAACCCTTCATCCCGTTCTTTCAGTCATTGTCTTCTGCCTCCTCGTGTTCCTCCATGTCCGCCCTCTTCAGCGCTCTCGCTCTCCACGTCTTCAGCCCCCATGGCGCGCGCTCCTCCTTGCGCGGATCTTCGCACCTTCGCCGCCACTGCTTGGCTCGGACCCCCCCTCGCCATTGTGCCAAAGTGGTCGAGTCCCTCCTCCCCCTTCGCTGTCGTCGCAATCGTCGTCGTTCGTCGCTTCCTCGCATTGCCGCTGGGCTCCTTCGCGGTGGTCAGTAAGAGATCCCCACGTGGTCGAGGAGTCGGAGTTGTTGAGTCCCTCCTCCCCCCTCGCTGTCGTCGCAGTCGTCGTCGTTCATCAGATCCTCGCAGTGCCGCTGGGCTCGTCTGCGGTGGTCCATAAGAGATGCCCAGGTGAGCGACGCAACACAAAGAACGGGGCCGCCTGCGCCGACATTGGCGCGTAAGTTGCCCGCGTGAGGTCCCGTGTCAGCACCCTCGTCTCCAATGCAGCGTGCCCCGCCGGCGGCCCGCGCAAGCCGCGGCGCAAGGCCACGGAGTTCTCTCGCGTAAGACCTTTATTTTGACAGTCGCTCAGGTGGTCGAGGAGCTTGAGTATGTTCCGAACCGCTCCAACCTCAAGGCGGGCTCCCTGTATTGAGCCTGCCCTCGGGCAGGAGGAGCAGGAGGAGGAGGAGGAAGAGGAGGAGGAGAGGGAGGAGGAGGAGGAAGAGCAGGAGGAGGAGGAGGAGGAGGAGGAGGAGGAAGAGCAGGAGGAGGAGGAGTAGGAGGAAGAGCAGGAGGAGGAGGAGGAGGAGGAGGAGAAGGAGGAGGAGGAGGAAACGGGGAGGAGGAGGAGGAGAAGGGAGGAGGAGGGCCCTGTCCTACATTGAGCCTGCCGCGGCCGCGGCCGCTCGGGCCGGGCGCGCTGCCTCGGGAGCTGGCGCCGGCCCCAGGCTCGGGCCGGCGCGCGGGAGGGGGGGGCCTCGATCCATGCCGGCGGCGAGCGAGGGCGCGATGCTGCCTCGGCGGCGAGCGAGGGCGCGATGCTGCCTCGGCGCCCTCCCCCCCCACCCACCCCCCGAGGAGCGCGCGCCGCCCTCCTGTGGTAAGAGGCGGCAGGCCCCCGAGAGGACGGCGCGAGGGCGGCGGCCAGTCGCTCGGCGGCGAGGGGGAAGGGGGGGGGGCAACGAGCAGGAGAGGGCCTTCGCAGGAAGGCGGCGGGGCCTCTCAGAAGCTCAGGAGGGGAAAAACACACACAGACACAATGAATCGCTGATTCCCCAGAAAGTATGGGAAGAAGTGGGAAGTAGGGGGGAAGACACAAACCCAGAAAATATGGGAAGATATGGGGAGTCCTGCTACTTGTGTGTCTTTATGTGTGTGTTCCAGGGCCCCTCCAGAAGCCCTCGCGCCGTCCGAGGAGCTGTGGGCGTTCTCGGGGAGTGCCCCGGAAACTTCTCAGAAGGGGCGGCCAGGGGGGGTGCCGAAAGAGACGGGGCCACGATGCGAACGGGGGTCAGCCAGAGCGCCGGAGCTTGCAGGATCCTGCAGGGCCAGGGATGCACTAACCGGAGGAGCATGCCGGAAGGAGCAGGAGAGGCAGCCGGCCCATCACTCGAGCGGCAGCCGGTGCCTCAGGGACGGCCTGCCGTGGCTGGAGTATGCGGGCGCCGCGGCGCTGGGTGCCAGCGGCAAAAACGAAAAACAAACAAAAAGATGCACTAACCCGGGTTTGGGTGCAGGATCTTGCAGCATCCTGCAAAGCCTGACCGACCCCGGTCTGGCCTGACCCGGGTCAGCAGGTCACCGAAATTGATGAGACGTAAGGGTAATATTTCGCAAGAGTGATTTTTGGAGTGCGGTCGCTGGGGCCCCATGATCGCCGATTGCGGTGCAATAGTCGCGTCTTGCGCGCTTGTGTTTGGCCCCCCCTCCCCCGCGGCCCTCAAAAAGCCACGAACCAAAGATCACTCCTACCCAGGGTCACTGTTGCGTGTAGCCGAATCAAGTGTGGTACAAGTCATACTTAGGCAAGCTCGCGTCATGAACAACATCAGGATGGCAGGTCTTTGGCTGCTTTCCGTCTCAGGGGGCTCTCGCCGGGCCCCGGGACCGTCGAACAACGCCCGGCGATGTAAAATGCCGGCCTTGGGGAAAGGGTCGGAATTTCCGGGGAACCTATGATGAAAAAGTCAGGACGTCGCATGTCTGGGACCGAGAGGGACCGCGAGGTATCAAGTCGGTTGCCGCCTTACCACCAAGTGGAGCTAGTTATTTGATTTGCTCGAGGGTATCCTCGACCACCTTGCCGCGAACTCTAACAATATTGGCGTGGCGTTGCCTGGATAGAAATGTCTGGGACAGAGAGGTACCATAATCGTACCTGGATTACATATGCTCAAGCTCTCGCTACAAAGGGCCGCTCGCCAAGAGCTCGAGGAAAGGGCAATACGGTCGCGCGACTCCATTTTGGGGTCAAAGTGGGGCCGTGTTCCTTGCCTTCCGAAGGGCTGGGATTGGCGGACATATCGGGGACGGAGACCGACACTGTAGTCAACCCGCATAGGAAGGACGGGCAACCTTTCAAAGGGTACCCTTGCATCCCTGCTCCTTCGCCCCATGCTTAGCGACTTTCGCTGGCCAAACTCGTGCGAAAAACGCTAACATGGGCCTCCAAGGCCTTTGCATCTCTACCGCGCATCCCCATGATACGGGTCGACCGCAGTCACCGCCCACTTCGAGCAGGATCCGCTGCCCGTGCTGCCCGCTGTTGCCCTGCAATCTGGGACGACGGCTGCCTGCCCGACCGCACCCCGAGCCGTTTTCTGACGCTTCGGAACTCGGTGGGGACCTCTGCGGATGCCGAAGTCGGTGAACATCGTCCGTATTCCGTTTTGTTCGGTTGCAATTCTTTTGCGGAGGTGAAATTCAGCATCGGCTGTCGAAAGCCGTCTTGCCCAGGCCCAGTCCCTTAGTCCACTCTACTCTTGCTGAGCCCTTTTGAGCAAATCAAGCTCAATATCGGGTTGAATTTGGATTCTCCGGCTTACTGGTCGTGGATCGGTCCTCATAGCTTTGAAACCTTCCCACGAAGACCTCCCGAGAGTCGCCTCCTGAGTACTGTATTATTGTTGCTTCTACAATGGTGGTTTCGGCTTCTTCCCCCGCCCTCCCCCCTCCGCCCCGCCCCCGGCGCCCTTTCCCCAATGCGCGCCTCCTCGTGGGCGCATAGGGTTGGGCGCCGATCGCGCCCGTCACCCCAGAGAAGCACCGCGCGCTCCACGACAGGGCTCGACCTAAGCGGTGCTCTGGCGATCCCGTGGGCCGTTTTCGCTTCAGCCCCGCTCCACGACGCCCCGCCGCACCGAGGGGATCGGGCAGCCCAGCCTCGCGGCTTGCAGCTGCCGCGGCAGGCAGCGGCAGCCGCGGGCGGCCACCACCTGCGAGCGGCGGCCGCGCGCCCGGCACTGCGCGCCTGGGGCTGCGGCCGCCCGGGCCCGTCGCGGGTTGGGCGAAGTCACGAGGAGGGCCAAGTCGGTGCATCACCATCTCCATCCCCACCTCCATCGCCTTCGAGACCCCCACCAAATCACCACCCCAGTTGCGGTGAGTCGGTGGGGATTCGGGGTCGACGCACGGTTTTGGGACTCGAGTCGTCCTCCGAGGACGTCTCGCGCGACTGGGGCATCCGAGGTCCCAACACCGTGCGCTGACGGACCATGCTGTGAGGTCTTGGGGGGTTTCGAGGTCACCGCACGGTCTGTCACCGCACCGTTTCGGGACTCCAAAGGTTCCTCGGGAGAAGTCCTTCGGGGCCAGCGACTGGGAAGCAGGGCTCGAGGTGAACGGCGTTCGGGCGATGTCGTGGGCCGTTTTCGTAGTGGCTTCGTCTCGCGGCAGAGGCGGGAGGAGGACAGAAGGGGAGGACAAACGAAAGCAGCACGAAAACGAGAAGCGCTGGTTGGCTCGAGCCATTGGCCAAACCGTCGGGTGTTGCCAGGGGTGTGCCTGACCCAGGGTGCGCCCAGGAATTCCCGCGATGCCCTGAGATGGCCTCCAGTCGGTATCGTTTAACCAATCCCCATCCCCATGCCCTTCGAGACCCCCACCAAATTACCACCCCAGTTGGGGATACACCCCTAGAAACCCGAAGAGAACGACCTACATCCCCATCTAGGGGGGTAAATCGGCCAGTGGGGCCCAGGCCACGCCGCTGGGGATGCGGATCGATCAAACGATACTCGAGAATGGTTGAACAAATACTAACTTCATAATTCCCCTAGCTCCACCGCCTTGTCCCGATGCTGTAACAGAACAGTTTTGTTTGAGCACTCAGTTCGCTTCACCTGCGTGCAGAATTAGCAGCGATGTCGGAGTTCATCTGTTACCGTTCCTCATCCGTCAGGTCGCCTCAGGAAGTAGTCGATTTGGGTACGCGTGAGGAAAACGAACGTAACTGTAGCTTCCAGAATTTTGCTTGGGCATCTCAGGCAGGAAGTGCGGAGACCCCTGACATCCGTGCGCCTCATTTTCCCCGGGGGGGGGGGGCTCCTCCTCCTGCTCTTCCTCCTCCTCCTCCTCCTCCTCCCCCTCCTCCTCCTCCTCCTCCTCCTCCTCCTTCTCAGGCAGGAAGTGCGGAGACCCCTGACATCCGTGCGCCTCATTTTCCCAGGCGTTTCTCGCACATCTCGGCATCTCGGGCCGTCCGCAGGCCTCGAGGGGCAAAGGCTGTTGGCATGAGTGGCCGTCTTGATTGTCGTTCGACCCGCCAGGAATCGGGGGAGCGTAAGACCCGGGTTTGCCAGGACTCGAGTTCGCCATCGTTTTTTGACGACCGCGCCTCGGATTTTGACGAGGAGGAGTTTCGTGGGATGTCTGCAGCGGGAGGCCTCGTCAAAATGCAGGCTCGGCCTCGTCATTTTTTTGACGACCTCGTCGGGGATTTCCGAGTCCCCTGTACCCAGGTCTTACGTCTCCCCGAAAGGAGAACGACGACGAAAACGATGAGGCTGACGAGGACGTGGGGGAGTAACTATGAGGACGATGAGAGAAATGTCGGGGTGCTTGGGCCAGGTGCAGGAAGAGGAGGAGGAGGGGAGGAGGGGAGATGATGATGATGATGATGATGATGATGATGATGATGATGATGATGATGATGATGATGATGATGATCATCATCAGCATCATCATGATGATGATGATGATGATGCTGATGCTGATGCTGATGCTGATGCTGATGCTGATGATGATGATGATGATGGTGGTGGTGGTGGTGGTGGTGGTGGTGATGATGGTGATGATGATGGTGGTGGTGGTGGTGATGGTGGTGGTGGTGATGATGATGACGATGACGATGACGATGATGATGACGATGACGATGACGATGATGATGATGAGGAGGAGGAGAAGGAGGAGGAGAGATGGCCTCTTGTTCCACAGCGCCCAGAGGTTGTCTACCCTGGCACCACTGGCAAGACGGTCGCGTTCATCGGCAGGCGCGCCCCGGAGGGCGACCGGGCGGTGCTCGTGTGCTCCTCCCCCGATTGGGCGCCTCGGCGGAGCGAGGGCCGGACGGGGAAGATCTGTCGGGGCTAAAGAGTCGACTACACGTAAGAGTGCCCCTTCGCCGGAGTGACCTTTGGTGCGGGCCCAGTGGGGCCCCCCAATCGCTGTGCGTGATGTAGTGGTAGCGTTTTGCGCGCTCCTGTTTGGTCCCCCCCGCGGCTCCCAGAAGGCCGCGCACCAAAGGTCACTCTGACCCAGGGTCACTCTTGCGTGTAGCCGAAAGAGACGGGGTCAATGCAGACGGGGGTCAGCCAGAACGCCCGATCTTGCAGAATCCTGCAGGGCCAGGAACGCACTGACCCGGGCTTGGGTGCAGGATCCTGCAAGATCCTGCAGGATCCGGCATGCCCGATTGGCCCGGGGCTGGACTGAGCAGGGTCTGTGGATCCCCGAAGTTGGGTCACCATTCCTCCCGATGCGTCCAAGCAGCTGCGCCTCGCCAAGAGCCCTCCGGGGGTTGCCCAGGGTCGTCCCGAGCGGCCGCCTGAGAGTTTGTCCGACAACGGGGCAAACCAGGCGGCCTAGACCAGAGTTTTTGCGATCAAGTTCGGCTCGCGGGGTCCGTCTCCAGGACCTGGGACCATCAAGTATGGATCTGGGACGGAGAATTACCCCCGGGGAGACGATCGGGACCTTTGGGGCAGCGGATGGACATGGCCATACCAGCGGATATCGGCGATATCGGGGGCTCCCAGGTGGACGCACGTTTTGGGCACTCGGGTCGTTTTCCGAGGACGTTTTCAGCTCTCCCCGAGGCTAGGATCCACGAGTGGTGTTTTTGTTCATGCTCTTTTTGTTGTTTTTTTGTTGTTGCCTGTTTCGTTTTTGCGGCGCGCGCTGGGCTCGCGCTCCGCACTCATTGCTCATTGCCGTTTTTGTTGGATTCGGGCGCTATGGTTTCGCCCCCTCCTTCTCGAGGGGGGTGGCTGAGTCGCGGGCGCACGTATGCCCATGGTTGCGCATCTCGCCAGAATGGTTCGTGGCCATGGCGATTGCGCGGGCGGGGCCCGGCGCATGCCCAACGGCATGCGCGTTTCATGATAGCGGCGGAATCGTCTTAAACGTGTGGTTTGTATTTTGGCGTGGTTTGGAAGTGAGCCGCCAACGCCTTCCCGACATTGCAAAACATTCACAGGTGGCCATTACTGTCAAACGCTCACAAATTGCCATACACCGCCCTGCAGGCACTCGGAGGCTTCCTCCCAGTGTCGCGCCCGGGAGGCTCACATAGTGAGTCGGGCGAGTGTTTCTCAGCCGTGTCAGTCGCCCTGCGCGCGCTGACAGGGGGTGCTTTCTGCAGACGACTGCCGACGGCCCATCGACCCATCGGCCCAAATTGCATTGCCGATTAAGGAACATGTGGGTGCTTCGACATGTATAACAGTTAAGCTGCACATGGGACCTCCGCCACATACATGCGCAATATGTGCATGGGCCAATGTACGACCATGTGAGCATTGACCGGTATAGGACACGACATTGAGCATCGGCCAGCATATGGGAATATGCATGCGTGGGCGGGCAAGGAAAAACACGTGCATGGGCCATAGAAGAACGAGAGCGATGCACAAGTGCATCCAACAGGTGGTAACGATTATTCGACCGTCAAAGTACGTGGCCTGCCTCTCTCGAGCACTGTCTTTGGGACCGGCATTGCCTCGCGGGGTTGTCGTGGGGCTTCGTTGGGCTCCCACGGGTCTCGTGGGGCTCGTTTGTCGGGCTCTCGCGGGTTCCTGCGGGACCCTCATGGGGTTCCCCGCAAGGATTTCGCCGGGCGTTCCTCGGGTTTCGCTCGGGGTCTCGTGAGACTCACTTGGGGCTCTCGCCGGGCTCCCCCAGGGGTTCTCGCGAGGCTTTCGTGGGGTTCTCGCGGGCTCGATTGGGCTCCGTCGGGCTCCTCCTCTCCCCTTGTCATCCTCCCTCTTCTTTTCCTTGTCCTCCTCCCTCCTCTAGTCGGGCTCTGACAGGCTTCGTCGGGCTCGTCCTGTCGCCTTTTCCTTTCCCTTTCGGGTTCCGTCGGGCTCCGTATGGCTCCGTCGGGTTCCGTCGGATTCTCGAAGTTCACGTTGGATTCTCATTGGTGGGTCTTGATTTTTTTCGGACTCTCGTGGGCGACGTCACTTAGGGCTCGCATCAAGAAGCCCACCAGGCAACAACGAGGCACTTCCAGGAGGTCGCCCACGAACGGCCCAGGAGCGGACCCCCGAACGCCCCCACTAAGGAAACCACTAACGAGCCCGCTAACGAGCCCACTAACGGACCCACTAACGAGCCCACTAAGGGACCCACTAACGAGCCCACTAAGGGGCCCACTAACGACCCACTAACGAGCCCACTAACGAGCCCACTAAGGGGCCCACTAGCGAGCCCACCAACGAGCCCACGAGAAATCTCAAGCGGAACTTCGCAGTCGACTGTGGCACTCGACTTTAAGCCGAATCGGCATGGCCACGAACCCTGTGACAGTCGTTAGTGGGGCGCTAGTGGGGAGTGCAGTGGGGACCCCAACGGCCCTCTGAATGCTCCGGGGCCCTTGTTGCCCTGAGGAGCCGGAGGAGCAGGAGGAGGCAGGAGGAGGAGGAAGAGGAGGAGAGAGGAGGAGGAGGATGAAGAATAATCTGCAAGTGCAAGAGAGGATGAAGAAGGGCGAGGAGGAGGGGGAGGAGGGGGGGCGAGGAGGAGGCAGGAGGAGGACGCAGAGGATGGGGGCTGCAGGAGGAAGCAGGATAAAGTAGGAGGAGGAGGAGGAGGCAGGAGGGAAGACGGCCTCGGAGGGCCGGAAAAGGGGCCCCACAAGGCTCCCTGGGGCCCCCAGATGGCCCCCAAGAGCACCGCAGATATCTCTAGGAGGTACCCATGAATATCTACCAACCGACCCCCTTGTGGTACATAGTCCCGTGGGCCTTTTTAAGGGCCTCTTGAGGCCCTCTTGGAGCCCTCTTTTGACTTTTCCTGAGGCCTCTGCCGCCGTCTTTGAGGGGCCCAAGGAGGCTCCCAGGGTGGGCCAAGAGGGCCCCGAGAGGGCCCCGGGGATGTTTCACGGCCGTGACACATCTCTGGGGATCTCTTGGGACCCTCATATGGCCCTGTTGGGGTCCTGATTTGCCGTTCTTGGGGCCATCTGGAACCCTCTTGGGGCCCCTTGGGGGTCTTGTTGTAGCCCTCCGAGGCCGTGAGAGCCCGACGAGCCCGAAGAACGAACCCCGCGAGACACGTGAGAGCCCGACGAGCGAACCCCATGAGACCCGTGAGAACCTAGCAAAGCCACACGAGAATCCCGCGAGGCAGTGTTCATCCAAAAGGCAATGCCCGAGTGAGGCCGCTTGCGTACATGGACGGCTGGGAAAATGTCGTCACATTCTGGATACACCTGTACACAGCTGTCATGCTACACTGGTTTGTGCATGCCGCTATGTACGCCCGCCCATACATGTATATTTCTCTATACCGGCGTACGCGTCGTATTTGTTTTGTTTTTCTTTTATTTGTCCATGCATACTATATGTTAGCTCGCAGGCCCAAGCATCTATTTTTGGCCGTGTGTGGCCAAGGCCCCCCTCTGCGACCTTACGTTCTTGTAAATGTTGGAACACGCTCAGGCCCCCTTCATCAGCAGTTCAATATGCGTTGGGGGTCGATGGGCCTCCAGAAGCTGTCTGTAAAAAGCGCCCCTTGCCAGCGCGCGCAGGGATGCCGAGGGCGACCGGCAAGGCTGAGAAACATTCGCCCGACTCGCTACGTGGCCCCCTGGTCGCGACGCTGGGCGGAGGCCTCCGAGTGCCTGCGGAGCAGTGCATACGGGGAAGGTTTCGGCGGGCGTTACTGCGCTTGTGTGGCCGCCTTTTGGGCGCGTGCCCGCGACTGCGACCGCCGGCGGGCGTTTCGTGATCAGTCGCGGGTGCTCGTGGGCACGCCTGGAAGGTCTCGCCAACCTTTTGGAAAGATTTGAACACGCGGGAGTGTTTGCCAGTGCCTCCGCGTGCCTGTGAGCGCCCGTGGTCTCGCATGGCCGCTTGTGGGCGTCTCTCCCAGTAGCTGCGCGGTTCTGAGTGCCCGCGTGCGCCCCCGCGCGCGCTGAATGGTGCTGCTATGTTGCGAGCCGCGCAAACTGCCCCCAGCGTCAACGGAAGCCCCGACTCCAGCGAAACAAAGTTTCAGACAAAAAACGTTCCTGCGACGATCCTAGACACTGGGAGAGGTGAGCGTTTCGGCCATTTGGGGCTTCTTTGGTTTCGCAAGCGATGCGGAAGGTGACTAATGGAGGGGAGGCGTGCTAGGACATAATTTCCATATAACAAAATATGATCATGTTTTAACTATGCAGACCACACGCTTGAAACTTGTGCTATACATCTTTCGCCATCCAAAATAAGTACCTAGTTTTAATCAAATGATGGATGTTCGAGTGTCCATTGTCGTGGCGTACAACGCAAGCGAGTGGTGGTGGACCGTGCGGTGAGGTTCCTTGGGACGTCGAGGTCGCCGCACGGTCCGTCACCGCACCGTTCAAGAGCCCTCAGTATAGATGTCGACCATCGCAGACATCGATCGGAACGGCGGGTTTAGTTTCACGTTGTCGGCTTCGGGAGGCACGTCACGGGTTTCAAGATCCCACAAAGGCACCAGTGATGAGAAAAACCAGGCCGCGTGGAAGGGGCTCGAGTCAGGCGGTCTGAGGATGATGTGAATTGTTTAAGAGCGTCCTGGAACGCCCTCAGTGAGTTTCAGGAAGCTTTGAGACGGCCGCGGCGCTCGACGAATCCTCCGGAGCCGCCGGCCACTGGACATTCTCGATTCATCCTGCCATTCGTCGAGAACTTCCGGGGAAGCCCCGTGCCGACAAAAAACAGCGCCGAGGGATTGGTCGGAAAAGATCAATTCGATAGTTGCGCGCCCGTTCCCTTTTCCAGAGTTTAGGAGAACAATCAGAGGAGGCGAAGAAAGAGGAGGAGGACCTCTAATTAGAATTGCCCATTTCCTATTTGCACCTTCGCCAGGCCTTGTCCCAGTTCGACCGAAAAACAGAAGCTGCTACTTCTGCATCCCATGTAGCTGGAGAATGCAGGAGCGGAGCGCCAGCGGGCCGGCCGCCTCCAGCGAGGATGTCTACGATGTTTTCTTGGGGTGGGGATTCGAGGCGTCTCGGGCGGGACTGGGGCCACACCTCAAAGAGGGCCCCTCCTGGCTCTTGCCCCTGGCTGTGGCTGTGGTGTCCTCTTCTTTCTTTGTCCCTAGCATGGTGACCAAGCCTTCATTGATGATGTGTTTTTCTGTTCAGAGGACAGAGACAAGTAGGAGTAGGAGTGGGGGGGCAGGGAGAACGATATTGCCCAGGGCAGAGGTGGAAGGGAGGGAGGGTAGAGGAAAACCGGGATGGGAGAGGGGTAAGTGACAATATGTGAATTTAGAGAATAGAGAGGGAGGGAGAGACTGATAAAACAACAATAGCAAAACAAGCAACACAGGAGGCGAGGCGAAGGGGGGAGAGGATGAATGGAACCTTCGAAACATATTCGGTGTGTGGACGAGCAGACAAACGCGAGTGTTGAGGGCGATTTCGTGAGGCCAGCCGTTGCATCAGCAGTTCGTATCAGCTCCCCCCTCTCTCTTCGCAGCACGGCCTCGGCCATTGCAACGGGTACTCCTTACTTTCTGCACATCCGTGATGGTGTGTTCCGTGGATTGCCGAGGCGGGAAGCGTGCGTGTGAATCGTCACGTGACGTGTGCAAATGGGGGGAGGAGACATTCAGGATGGGAGGAGGAGGGAGGAGGAGGGAGGAGGCAGCACGATGACGCCGCCGACGCCAACGCCAACGCCCGCCGCCGCCGCCGCCGACGACGACGACGACGACGCCGACGCCGCCGACGACGACGACGCCGCCGCCGACGACGACGACGACGCCGACGCCGACGCCGACGCCGCTGACGACGCCGACGACGACGACGCCGACGACGCCGACGCCGACGCCAACGACGCCGACGACGACGAAACGACGCCGACGACGACGACGATGACGACGACGACGACGACGACCTGCAATGCTGATCGGCCTTCTCCCTCGTGCGCCCGAGCCACTTCGACGTCGTGCCGGCGGACCCAGAGCAGTGGGACAAGGACAGGATTTTTCTTCTTCCTCCTCCTCCTCCTCGGCCCCCTTCCTCGCTCTCCTCCTGCTCCCCGTTCTCCCTCCCACCCTCCCTTCCTCCCTCCCTCCCTCCCTTCCTCCCCCTTTTTGCTTTTCCTGAGAGGGACAGGATTCGGTGACCGCTTCCTGCTTGTCGTCGTCTTGGTGGCTGGCCAGTCGAGACGATCCCTGAGATCCTGTCGAGCCGAGAGGTATTCGCCCTTCTTCGGGCCCCGTGGCCCCCACAAGCCGAGCTGGCTTGAAAAGTGGCGCAGGAAGATTGAGTCTATTGCTCTGGGCGTGAATTTGTTCGATGTTGCCATTTTCTCGCCGCGTCGGATGTCACAGGTGTAGTGGTCCTCCCTGGTGTTGTTCTTCCGTCTTGGGCCTGCTCGAGGCTCCTCGTCGCTTCGGTTGGATCTGCCTCGAACAGCGGGTAGAGTTGACCCTGGGAGGGGGTTCGGGGACAGATGTCGAACGGGTTTGGGGTGTGTGGAAAGGCTGCCGTTGTGTCGTGTTCTCCTGCCTGCGATTATTGCTCGTCGTCGCGTCGCTGGCCGCTCCCTTCCTGTCTTCCTCGCTCTCCTCCGCCTTGGCCTCTCCCTATCTCTCTCTCTCTCTCTCTTTCTGTGTCTCTCGTGCTCGCTCTGTACATCTGTACACCTACAAACACACTCTTCATAACGTGCGTGCGCACTTGTTTGGTCTTTGTCTGTGCTCGCTTTCAGAGATCTCCGCGAACTGTCACCCGCCGTCGTGCCGTCTTTGTCGTCGTCCTGTTCCCTCTCTGCCCCCTTTTGACCTCGAGGCCGTGGACGCATATGATGTCCCCAAGCAGTGCTTGCTCGCACCGGCTCTCCCTTGGCGTGCTCAGGTTATCGGATGGGCATTCCCGGTGTGTGTTTTTTTCCGGTGCCCACCCCGGGCCGCCTCGCGCCGAGAGGGCCTCCCCGATGCTCGCCCGGCGCCCGCCCTCGTGCGCATTCTGTGGGCGCCGTGCACGGTGGCATGGTTGCTGCGATGCTTACAGCTTCCGCGACACGCTCCCACTGACATCAAGTCGGGCGTGCCCTTCTACAGAAGGAATGTTAAACAGTAGTGAAAAATGTCAGGGGATGATTTGTCGATGATTTTTTGAGTATGATCAAGCATGTTTTGGTTCTTCCTTATTTGTCGTCCAAAAAACGCCCGACCTCAGACTAACACGTCCGCCACTTCTCTCCATTGCGGGCAGTACTTCCGTCCATATCCACTGCAGTACAGTGGACCGGAAATTTTCCGAAGGGCATCTTTGCATCCCCGCCTCCTCGGTCCATCCTTGGCCATTGTCGCTGGCCCCGCCCCGCTCGAAAAGCTTTGAAATGGCCTTCCAAGGCCCTTGCATCCTTACCATGTATCCTTATGATGCGGGTTGACTGTATGGAGTTTCGGGCGCTCCCTTCCCCAGAAACCCGAGGGCGCACTGCATACGGATACGTGTGCCCCCATATGCTCCTCGGCGAGCCGCCTTGGGGGCGTGTATGTGCCCAGCTATGCAGCAAAGCGAACGACTTCAGAGAAGGGGGTGCGCTGGACCCCTACGCGTGCGTCGAGCCAGTGGCAGCATCTCAACGTTCGGTCGGCTGACCGCTTGTACAAGCTCGGGGGGGGGGAGAAGAGTATCAATGTCACGCCGCCGCAGGGGCCCAGCCAGCGTGTTATTGTCGATCTGCGTCGTCTTTTCGGGGGAGAAGCGAGCGTATCACGCCGATGACGCCCTCGAGCACCCCGCGGCAGCGCGACATTGAGACTTCCCCCCCCCCCGCCCCGACAAGCGCCGCACATGCACGGGGGACCAGCTTGCGGAGCTGTTTGATGAAGCTTTCTGCACGATGCGCCAAGGCGTTTTCGGGCGCCTCAGTGAGGCTTCTTGGCTTTTCGGAAGGCTTTTGTGGGGCCTCGCAGAGCCGTGTCGGTCCCTTTTTGTATGTTTTTGTTCGGGTTTCGACCCCGTCTGACTCCTCAGGAGGCCGTTTTGGGGCTTCTCGCGGCCGCCTTCGGGGGTTATGTGGGTCCTGTTGGGCCGTATCGGGGGCCTCCAGGGCTATGTGTGGGGCTGTCGTTGGTCCCTCCGGGGCAGTCTTGGGGCCTTTTTTTTCCGTGTTGCCTTTTTGGGGCAATTTTGGCCGCTGCCATGGCCGCCGTTGGTTTTTGAAAGTCGAAGCAGGCGATAACTCCTTTAAAACAACAGTGGAAGATCCAGGTGGACGGTGGAGGCGCTGTTGTGGGCGCTCTTTTGGGCCTTTTTGGGCCGCTTCGAGGGCTTCATGAGCACTGGAGGGGCAATCTTGGGCCGTCTCGGGGCCGGCTTGGCCGGGCCCGAGGCCATCCTGGGTAGTTTGCTGCTCATTCGGGCCCCCCACAGGCCCAAATCGCCGCTCCCCCATCATTTTTTAAAAGGTTTTGAAAGCCCGAGAAAGGGGGGTCACTTTGAAAGGGCGTGCAACCAGAGGGGGTTCGTGGGGATACATAATCATGTAACATAATGCGCGATGAAGCAAGTCAATAATCATTCGATACATTTGATATACTGCATCAAAGCATCCGCGGAAAACGCTGCAGTTCAGCGCGTCACCTCCGGACGTGGATTCAAGAGGATTGCGCCATCCTGCTGACCACGGACTGGACCGGACCACCTAAATTTTAGTCGTTGTGGGGACTTCCGGGATCCTCTTTGGGGCCTTTTGGAGGCGTTTCGGGGGCCCCTTGGCGCCTCAGGGGGGGGCGTCCTTGGGGCCTCCTGGGGTGCTCTTTCGCCGCTTGGTCTTTTCAGAAGCCGTTCTTGCGTGGTCTTTTCCTGTGTCAGAAGGGGCGATGAAGGAAATGAGGAGGTTCGTAAGGGGGAGAATCGTGTCTGAACCCCCCTGTTTGAAGGCTTCTTGGAACGTCTTGGGGGCCTGTTTGGGCCATGTGGGCGCGCAGTTTTGAGGCCGTTTTGGGCCGTATGGGAGCTGTCTTGGAAGCTGTTTCGGTTGTGGTAGCCCTCGAGAGTCGAAACATGCGAGAACACCGAAATCGCAAAGAACATGGAAACCTACGTGCCTTGTTTCTGGAAGCGCTCTCAGGGTCGCCTTGTTTCACCCGTGACCGCTGGAGTGGCCCCTGCTCCGCGCCGCCCTTCACGCCGTCCTGGCCTTTGTCCAGAGCTCGCATTGAATCGGGGACTTCGCGGCGTGCTGCTCCCGCGCTGTTCGCGGAACCCATGCGCGCCCGCTGCCAGGCCGATGCGCGTGTCATGAACGAGAGCACGAGAGCCCCCGTAGACCGCAACCCCAAACAACTGCACGAGAAACATAGAAGTGCAATGTGGGCGTTGCTCGTGGGAGCACGCGAGATAAGGGTATCGTGCGCCTCCTGTAAGTTGAGTGCGGGTTGCCGAGACTGCGGGCGTTTGGGCGTCTTGAAACATGTTCGTCGTTTCTTGTGGGCATCGGCTTCATGAGATTTGGCTGACTCTTGGGAGCGTCCCAGGCCGTCTTCGGGCGCGGCAGGGGCACGTGGATCCTTGGAGAGCCGTCTTGGGGACCACTCCGTGCCCAGCTATGCGCCGTACGAACGACCTCAGAGGAAGATGTACGCTGGACCTCGCCGCGTGCGTCGAGCTAGTGGCAGCATCTCAACTTCGGGTCGGAGGACCGCGTTTACAAGCGCCGCACGTGCACGGGGGACCAGCTTGCGGAGCTGTTTGATGCAGCTTTCCGCACGACGCGCAAGGGCGTTTTCGGGCGCCTCAGTGAAGCTCCTTGGGGACCTCTTGGCCTCTCAGGGGTGTTTCGGACGGCTCTTTGGTGCCTCGTGGGGCCATGCCAGTCCGTTTGGGGGCCTCCTGGGCGGGTTTGGAGGCCGTCTGACCTCTCCGGAGGCCGTCTTGGGGGTTTCTCGCGGCCGCCTTGGGACGTTCATGGGGTCGTCTTGGGCCGTCTTGAGGGCGTGCTAGACCGTCATCGGCGTCGTTTTGAGGGTTTTCGCGGTCCGTCCAGGGCCGATTCGGGCACCTTTTGAGGGTTTTTGAGATTCTCTTGGGGCATATTTGGTTGCTGCTTTGGCCGTCATGGGTTTTTGAAAATCGAAGAAGCAGGCGAGAACGCTCAACTCGATGATAAACCATGGGGGACACCAAAAACAATGTGTTTGGTCTTTTGGGGCGCTGTTGTGGGCGCTCTTGGGGCCCCCTTGGGCCGTCTTGAAGGCCTCGCAAGTGCTGGAGGGGTCAACTTGGGCTGTCTCGGGGCCGACTTGGTCGGCCCCGGCGGCACCCTGGGCCATTTCGCCGCCCTCTTGCCCGCCCAGAGGCCCAAATCGTGGATTCCCCATTTTTTTTGCCAAGTTTTGAGGGCCCGAGCTGGTGTCCGTCAAATTTAGTACCCCGGAATGGCGCGACTCCGACGGGGGGTTAAGCTAGATATGTAAGAATGTATCTTAATGCGACACGTAGCAGTTAGACAACTATTGAATACAATGGGTACGTTGCAGTATCGCTTCCGCAGAAAACGCTGCCGCTCAGCACGTCACTTCCGGACATGGATTCCAGAACTTGCGCCTCTCCGCCGACCCCCAGGAGAAGCGGGGAGGCGTCGTGGGCTTCTTGGGCACGATCTGGGGACTCCTGTGGGCGTCACGGGAGATGTTTGGGGGCCTGGTGGAGCCTCTCGGAGGCAGTTTTGAAACGTCTTGGGGGCCGTTGTTAGGCCAATGGTCTCCCGCTTCCCCCGGTCCCTGGGGCCCCCGCTCGAGGAAATGGGATGACAAGCGATATACCCCCTCGATCCGAGGGAAGTTTGTTTCGCATCCATCGAGGTGCAATGTCAGTCCTTGCCCACCCCTCGGTATGTCCTTCTCTGCCTTTCGGCACCCTCCTTCGGATGCAACTCCTGGGAGGTCCAATTCTGACTTCGCCCTGGTCCCTATTCCCGCTCAGTCTGGTTCAATCCCGCCTTATCCGGCTTAACCGTTTAATCCCGTTTACTCCGTTGTCTGATCCGGCGAAATTTCCCAACGGGGGTGAATATTCTTTAATCCTTCCGACGAAAACCTCCCAGCAGTCGCCCCCTACTTTCCCAGCCTTGGGGCTCGCTCTCTCCGAACGTCTGCTGCCAGGACCCCTTCGAGCTGACCGTGGAGGGTGACAAGCTCTACGCCCGCGGCACCACGGAGCGGCACGCCGCCGGGGGGCGCGCGTTTCTTGAGAAGGGAGGGCAGAGCGGGAGGGGAAGTGGTAGGAGCAGCGCCAGGATTGGAGGAGGAGGAGGAGGAGGAGGAGGAGGAGGAGGAGGAGGAGGAGCATGAGGAGGAGGAGGAGCCAGAGGACAAGCAGGAGGAGAAATAGGGAGGGAGGAGGAGGAGGGGTAGGAGGAGGAGGAGGAGGAGGAGGAGGAGGAGGAAGAGGAGGAGGACGAGGAGGAGGAGGAGGAGGACGAGCACGCAACAGGCTTCGTTCCTTCTGTCTGAACAACGCAACACAAATGAGGAGGAGGAGGAGGAGGAGGAGGAGGAAGAAAAGGAAGGCGAGGACGCGGAGGAGAGGGGGTGAAGATACGAGGGGATGGAATGCAGAGAGGATCCGATGCGTGAGGACGAGGCCGATCAAAGAGCATGAGTCAGAAGAAGGAGAGAGGAATGGGATAGGGATGGAGGAAGGATGCAGACGGGGAGGACCAGGAGCGGGATGACGAGGCGCAGGAGAAGAAGGAGGAGGAGAAAAAGGAGGACTCGGGAGGAGAAAAAGGAGGAGGAGCAGAAGGAGAAGAAGGGCGGACGTGCAGGGGCTCCTCGACGCGGACTGCAGCAGCGCTGCGCGGACTCTGTGCTTCCAGGGGAGCAGGGCGTGACGAGAATGAGGTTTTCCAGGATTTCCGGGTCCTCCTGTCGCCCCGCGCGGCCAGAGGCGCGTGGCCGCGTGCGCGCGGCCGATGGTCGTTGCAGAAATTGCGGAAATCCCAGAGCGCATCCGGAACCAATCGCATCAAAGCGATCAAAGCGGCGGGGGTTGCTGCAAGGGGCCCTTTAGTTATGTTCGCCAATTCTACTGCAGGAGGTCCACCGAGAAAACCAATCGAGATCTTCGGATAATCTTCAGCAGGGAACTCAAACTCCAAAAAAAAGTGCAAACCATCTTGAAGCCAAAACTTGCGACAATCTCAAACCTAAAGACAAATATCAACGAATCTCTAAGCCAAAACCTGCGAAAATCTCAAACCCTAGAAAAACTCAAACAAAAAGTCTCGAAGCCAAACCCTGCGAAAATCTCAAACTCTAAAACAATGTCCAACAATCTCTAAGCCAAAACCTGCGAAAGTCTCAACTCGAAAGTTTTAAAGGCCGCCGGGGATTGCAGTTAGAGTTTGTTTAGAGTTTTCCTGGAATTGTTTTTGAGTTCTCCAGACGGTCCGAAATTTGTTTAGAGTTTGTCTTAGAGTTGTTGTTTTTAAGTCGTATGTTAGAGTCGTTTTGGGTTTTCAGGCTTTTGGAGTTATATATATGTATAAATATGTGTGTGTATATATGTATATATATATATGTATGTGTAAGTGCTTTTGAGTTCTGTTTAAAACATGGGTTAGGCGTTTGGAGTTGTTTTAGATGTTTCCAGCGTTTTTTTTCAGATGTTTTCAATAAATAAGTGTTTCTTAGAGGTCCGGTTTCAACTTTTGTATAAGATTGAGATTTCCCCAGGTTTCGGCTTGTCCAGAGTTTTTTGGAGTTGAGATGTTCGCTGGTTTGGGCTTGAAAATGTGAGGCAGATTTTGAGATTTTCGCAGGTTTTGGCTCAGATATTGTTTGCGGGTTTTCTGGAGTTTGAGATTTTCGCATGTTTTGGTTTTGAAATTGTTGGAAGTTTTCTAGGTTTCGAGATTTACGCAGGTTTGGGCTTAGAGATTTTTCGAAATCGTTTTAGAATATGAGTTTCTTCGCGCGATATGGCGGTGGACCGCCTGTAGTTGCTCTTGCCGGTCCTAACCCTTTAGGGCCCTAAGAGGAGTCCTGTAGGGCCACAAAGAGAGCCGCTAGGGCCCAAGAAGGGCAACTGCTTTTCCCCCCATGTATCGCGTCCCTGGCCCTGGACCTCGTGCTCCCACTTGGTTGGGCAAGGCGTGCCCCTCCCTGGCGGTAACCGCCGCCCCCGGATGATAAAGTTCCCTCACTTTTCCACCTGAGAGTTGATTATCCCTGGTCAAAACAGAATTAGTCGGGGGGAGAGGGGCGGCAAGGCCGAGCTTTATTATCGCGGGGGAAGGTTGCGAGTCGAGGTTGCGATGTTCTTATTCCCTACCTAGGCTCTTCCTAGAGGGTTCTTACTCTCTTTCTTAAAGGGGCTGGGCAGTGCACACCGCCCCGGGCGGTTCCCCCAGTATCCGCCCCGCGGTTCCCCCAGCTACGTCCCCCTAGCGTAGCGTTGCTTATCTCGTCTTAGCTTAGTTTATTTCACCTTAGCTTAGCATAGCTTCATCTTAGCTCAGGTGTGTCTCAGCTTAGCTTACCTTCATCTTAGCTTCGCTGAGCTTTATCATAGCAGAGCACAGCATATTATAGCGTAGCATAGCATAGCGCATCACAGCATATCACAGCATAGCCCAGCTTAGCATAGCATAGCGCAGCGCAGCATAGCATAGCATAGCGCAGCACAGCACAGCACAGCATAGCCCAGCGCAGCATAGCATAGCCTAGCAGAGCAGAGCACTGCATAGCATAGCATAGCATATCCTAGCGCAGCTTAGCATAGCATATCATATCATAGCTTAGCATCGCGCAACGCAGCATGACATAGCATAGCTTAGCATAGCATTGCATAGCATAGTGCAGCATAGCATAGCATAGCAACTAATGCTGCTTTCCTAGGGGCTCCAACTTCTAGGTCGGGTCGCACTGGGGTAATGTTGACTAGCAACATCATCAAACACGTGCAGCATGGCAAGGGGTGTCTCACCATTTCAGCTTTCGCAAGTCACGAACGTGTGGCGAGACAATGGGCCCCCGTCCCGATCTGTTTTAAATCCGGGGGATTGTTCATCACCAGAAACGGGCCGCCATGGGCTCCTTCCTACACGTGAAGTTGAACACGACTAAAACTGTTTAAGTTTTACATACCAGAATCGTAAGTTCTCGAATATGTTTCTTTTTTATGGAATTTGGTCCTTGGGCCCACATCTGCTCCCTCCCCTTCTCCTCCCGTCTTGTTGCGACTACGACAATTACTACTACTAGCACTACTCTTACTACTACTACTACTACTACTACTACTACTTCCACTACTACTACTATTACTACTACGACTACTACTACTACTACTACTACTACTACTACTACTACGACTATTACGACGTACTTCTACTACTACTACTACTACTGTTGCGACTACTACTACTACTACGACTACTACTACTACTACTATTACTACTACTACCATTACTACTACTACTCCTACTACTACTACTACTACTACTAGTACTACTACCACGACTACTACTACGACTACGACTACTACTACGACTACTACTACTGCGACTACTACGACTACGACCACTACTACTACTGCGACGACGACGACTACTACTACTACTACTACTATTATTTCTACTACTACTGCTACCACCACCACCACCACCACCACTACTACTACTACTGCTACTACTACTACTACTACTACTACTACCACTACTTCTACTACAGCTGCTACAGCTACTACTACTACTACTACTACTACTACTACTACTACTACTACTACTATCATCATGACTCCTACTACTAGTAATAATAATATTTTGACTACCACCTAATGCTACTTCGATTGCGACCAGCTACTACTACTGCTGCTACTAGCACTACTGTTACACCTACTACAATCACCACTACTACTACGACTACTACTACTACTACTACTACTGCTACTACGACTACTATTACTACTACTACTACTACTACTACTACTACTACTACTACTACTACTAATACTACGACTATTGCTACTGCTACTAGTACCCCCGCTAAGCCTACTACTACTGCTACTCTGCTACGACTACTCCTGCTACTACTACTACGACTAGCACTAATACCGTACCTCCATCACTAGTATTACTAGTAGTAGTAGCAGTAGTGCTACTACGACGGCTACTACGATTACTACTACCACTACGATTATTACTACTACTACTACTACTACTACTACTACTAGTACTATCATTACTGCAAATGCCACTACTACCACCGCCACAACCATTACTACGACGACTACAGTATTCTTATTAATACGCTTACTAGTACTACTAGAACTACGAATACCACTACTACTACTACTACTACTACTACTACGACTACTACTACTACTACGACTACTAGTTTTAGTACTAGTACGACTACGACTACGTTGACTATTATTATTACTACTACTACTACTCCTACTACTACTACTACTACAACGTCTACTAATACGACTACGACTACGAATGCGACTAGTACTATTATTACTACTTATTCGATCCCATTTCGTAGTAGTAGTACTACTACTACTGCTACTGCTACTACTACTATTACTACTACTACTACCACGACTACTACGAGTACTACTACTACTGCTGCTGCTACTACTACTACTACTACTACTACGACTACGTCTACGGCTACGGCTACGACTACTACGAATATCATTATTACTACTGCGATCAGCAGAAGGGTCTCAACAGCTCGTGTCAAGGATCTCGAGAGCATGGGCCAAGGATCCCGGACGCAGCATCATGTTCCAGCCAGGGAGGGTTTCTGATCCCCCCTGGTTCCCGAACGTTATTGCCCGCAGGGGCTTCACATCAGAGGCAGGAGTACTTGCCGAAGCGCAGCTCGGAGCATCAAGCCAGGCATTGTTGCGGTGAGCCCACTGGCGACCAGGCGCGCCCCAAATCTGCAAGACCAGGCAACAAGGAGCGAGCAGGCAACAAGACAAGTGCAAGAGAGGTGGAAGATCAGGGAGCTGGTAGTGGAGGGGCACTGATGAGGGGAGTGGAAACGGCATTGCATGCACGACGGGCTTCCCAGGCGGCCTGGCAGTGGCGTCGTCCTTCCCCATCCTCCTGGCAATGGCCAGCGCGAGGACTTCAATATCAGTTTGGCAGTAGCTCAGCTTGTTCCTCACGAGGGCCACCAGAGGCCGAACATGGCCGAACGCGATGTGCTGTTTGATCCTCATGACCCCAGAGGGTCTGAAGTGGCATCCTCAGCTTCCCCTCGCTCGGTGTCGTCATCGTCGTCCTCGATCAGCATCGCCAGGACTGCCTAGGCCACGTTGCGCTGCTCACGCGGTTCATGGTCGCGCTGGCCAAGGTGCTTCCCCCCATTGACGAAGAGAAGACTGAGGAAGACAGGAAAAGGAGGAGGCACGGAGGAGGTGGAGGAGGAGGAGGAGGAGGAGGAGGAGGAGGAGGAGGTCAATGTAGACGAGGATCGGGAAGCACATGATTCCTCTCTTATCTTTTCTCCTCGTGTCTCCTTCCCTCATCTCTCCTCCCCCTGCTGCTGCTAGTTCTCCGCTGGAGGGGTGGAGGAGGAAGCTGAGGGAGAAAAAGGTTGGACTGGACACTTCGAGAGCGAGGCTGGGGCCTCCGGCAACGAGGGTTTGAGGGCAGACCTTGCACCGCTCAGCGGCACAGGGCTCTCCACCACACAGCATGCCAGGAACGAATTACACCAGAGAAGACCCCCCCATCAAAGGATGGTTTGAAATGGGATCGATGAAGAGATCGATCAGGAGATCGACCAGGAACCCGGGAATCCCGTAACCCGGAACCCACCGAAAGCGGCCCGGAAGCAATCACCAGGAACCCAGGAACCCGGAACCGGCAACCCGGGAGCCCAGCCGGCCACCAAAAAAACGGCGGGCTATTTTCGCCAAATGTTTTTCAATGTTTCCGCCAGGACCCCTTCAGAAGGTCGACTCGAATCGACGGGCGTCCGACGCAGCTTCGACGCACGAGTGGAGCGAGTGGCTCCAGGAAGGTCCCCAGAATGAGCAGCCAACCTTCAGTGCAAGCACTGATTGGGGAACAACCTGCAGAGGACCACCTCGACGACTCCCACCCCAAGTCAAATATTTGGTCTTGGCCGGCTGCGTGCGTACGGCCAGCCCGGGGGGCCCGTGTCGCAGCCGGGCCGCCCAGTTTCTGGTGGAGAAAACACACGGACACCAAGAACCGGCGAGATCCCCAGGGAAGAATGGGCAAGCATGGGAAGTCGGGGAGGGAAGAATATCTAGAGAACTGGAAGATGTGGAAAGGCATGGGGCATGGAAATGTAGAGACAACTAGAACATGTGGAAAACTGGTCTGGGAAACTCCAGAAGACATGGAAACATATCGGGCGGGAATCCTGGCATGCGTCATTTTGTTTGTCTGTGTGCTCCTGGGCCCCTTCACGGACGGCGTCAGCAGCGGCAGGACTGGCGAGCGCGTGGTCGATGCGGGCTGGAGCGCCGTTGGAGGGCAAGCAAAGTGGGCCCTGCTGCCGCCAGGAATTCCCTCCATCTCGCCAGGAGGCCGTCGATCCCAGAACTTCTGATGTTCCGACCTATTATAGCCCGAATCACCAGAAATAATTTCGAAGACCAAGGAAGTACCGAAATTGCATGGTTTTCACGTGCCGTGCCCTGGTAGACACTCGTTCGACATTGCTTCGACACTGCTTCGGCACTACTTCGACACTTTTCCGGGTATTCGGAATTATTTCTGGTCCTTACGCACGATGGGAGCAACATAACCCATAATCAGCAAAATTGAAGTCCAGGTCGCCCACTAGGGCACGATCGACTACACGTAAAAATGACCCTTCGCCACAGAGTGACTTCTGGTGCGGGCTCATCGGGGTCTCCTCGACCGCTGAGCGCGATGCGTCAGCGGATGCTTGCGCGCCTGGATTTGGCCACCTACTCGTCGACCTCATCTCATCACCTCCGAGCCTCCACCCCACCACCCCATCACCGACGCTGGATCTACGAGGGGGGGGGGAATGAGGGAAGGAGGCAGACAAATCAGGAGCAACGCGCTCGGCCCTCAGGGCGAGAATCGCGCCCTGCGCTGCTGCAGGCGCATCGCACTCACCGCACGCGTCCGCGCCGAAGCGGCGGGCCCTCACGCAAGCCGGGCAATCCGTGACAGGGACGCCATGGCTTGCTCCTCTTCTCTTGCTTGCTTGCTTTTGCTGCTGCCTTCTCTTTCCCCCTCCCTCTCCCTTTGCTGCTGCTGCTGCTGCTGCTCTCTTCACCCCCTGAGCCGCAGGGCGACCTTCTCGCGCTCGTAAGAAAAGTGACAGGGACGCCGTGGCCTTGGTCTTCGCCGGTGGACATGCCCTTGTCTTCGCCGTCGTCCCTGCTCCGGGCTGGACCAGCCTCGGGAGCGGCTGCGGGCCCATCAGAGGCTCCTCCAGCACGGGCCTGGGCAACACCGGCAAGATGCTCTGCACGACCGCGTTCGTGTGCAGGAAGATAGAGGAAAAATAACTATGCACATACACCGATTCTGGCCAGGCCCATCCTGAGCCCAGGGTCGGTGCATACGCCCTCCTACCTTGGCCAGGAAGGCATATGCACCGATCCTTGGTCAAGGATGGGCCTTGCCAGGATCGGTGCATGTGCATAGTTCTCTTCGCCCGAGAAGATGCTGCGAACGCGCTCCGTCCGCGGCACCGTCACCCAGGGGTCGTCTTCTGAGCGGTCCGCCACCAAGCGAGAGGTCGGCGAGCCCCGCGGGGGGAGCGAGGCGCGGGAGGACGGCGAGCGGCGGCCGAGGGATGCCGCCGGGTGGCGCTGGCTCGCCAGCGCACGTGGCACTAGCTTGGAGCCGGCGCTTGGAGCGAGGAGGAGGAGGAGGAGGAGGAGGAGGGAGGAGGGAGGAGGAGGAGAGAGGAGAGGAGGAGAGAGAGAGAGGAGGAGGAGGAGGAGGAGGAGGAGGAGGAGGAGGAGGAGGAGGGGAGGAGGAGGAGGAGGACGATGCACCCGCATCTCGACGCGTTTTCGGTTTCGTTTTCTGGAGATCTTTAGCCACCTGGCCTGATATAGGGAACGAGAAAGGAACGGCGGTGACCTCGTCGCTCTCTCTGAAGTTGTTTTAGCCCTGTGCGTCGTGTGAATGGAGGCCGTCGTTCCTTATCCTGGCGGAGATTGTAGTAGGATGAGGTCGAGGGGGAGGAAGACACGGAAGCATAGTGAAAAAGGACAAGGAGCAGTATATTGAGCAGGCTTACCAGGATGACGATGGACAAGGGGGGGTGAGGTGAGGGAGGAGAGAAGAATGGGGATGAAGCGTGGCTAGGTGCGTTCGTGCCCAGCATGCGGTGCGAACTCAGAACGGGAATCTTTTCACATTGGACGAGGGCGAGGTGGACGTGGCGGATGAGCAGCAAACTGAGCAAGAGTATTACCAGTGTGATTGAGGAGCAGCAGGAGGAGCAGGAGTAGCAGCAGGAGCAGCATGAGGATGGAGGCAGCAGATTGGAGGACAGGACGGGTGCGGCAACAACGAGGACGGAATCCGATCCAGAAATGCGGCCCCGCGCCCCGCTCGCAGCGGCGTAGCCTTCTAAGGCCCGTGCATTGTCGTGGTGCGTCATGGTCCTATTCTTAGCATGTAGTTTAGCATGTGCCTATACACTCAAAGTGCTCCGCACTTAGTGTGTATCCTGCGTGGTTGGTACTCAGCGTGTACATCGGAGGGCTGTTTCTCCCCAACCTTGCTTAGCGTTTGCGCCCCTGCGCTGCTTAGTGTGTCAGCGGTTTCGGTGTCGCAGGGCTCGAAATCACATACAGCTAACACGCATAGTAAGGAGGAGCGACTTTCCAAGGTTACCCTTGCGTCCTTTCCCTTCCGCCAATCCTTGGCCGCTTTGGCTGGCCGCGCCCCGCTCGCAGAGTCTCGACGCGGTCTTGCAAAGCCCCTGCTTCCTTTTAGTGTGTCATGACTTCCCGCAGCCGTTGAATGAGCTGCTGCGTTCAGGGTGCTCCAGGTTGCCACTCAGGTGCACCTCGCGCGCGGGTTTTCAGGGCTGGGTTTCTTGCGAGTGTTTCTCGCGGCCGCGCCCGCACTATATCCTTAGCATGCAGTTGGGAAAAACGCGTACAAACGCTAAGTGCTCCGCACTTAGCGTGTGTCATGCGTGGTTGGTGCTCGGCGTGTATTTCGGAGGGCTGTTCTGCCCGACCCTGCCCCTGCGCTGCTCAGCATGTCGGCGGCGTCGGCTCCGCAGGGCCAGAAATCTCATACACCGATGGACAATTTTCCCACCACCACCACCACCATTACCATAGGTAGGGCGGAGGAGAATGGAGGATGGGGAGGTCCTCCTCCCCTCCTCCTCTTCCTCCTCCTCCTCCTTCTCCTATCTACGGTAGAGGTGGTGGAAACTCGGCCCATCATGCACGCTAAGAGTAGGAACGGGTTGACTGCAAGGCGTCCTCCGCCCGTCCCCCCAGCGCAGGCGCCAGCGGCACCTGGGCCCCTTCCGCGCCGCGCCCTGGGCCTTCCCCGCGGCAGGCCAAGCCAGCGCTGCAGCGCAGCATCGTCGTCCTCTTCATCGCCGGCGAGGACGCCCGGCTCGTCGTCGTTGTCGACTTCGGTGGCAAGGTCTCAAGCAGTGGCGAAGCGTCCTGGCGTGCCTAGAGGCCTACCAAATAACATTCTAAGAACCTTTGTGGTTTCCACGAAATGTTCTTCGAACATTTCTGGCTGGGGCTGTCTTGTTTTAACCCATCGGGTTTATGTTCTAAGAATATTGTGTTTGTTCTTAGAACGCTTCTGGGTTCTAAGAAAATGTCGAAGAAGGCCTATAGGAATGCCAGGACAATCGGCCCCTGTTTAAAGGTCTAGGCAGGGTCGGATGATTCTGACACCCTCCTCCGTGCACCTATTTTGGCTCAAGATGGAAAAGAGATATCTTGTCCATCGGCATATTATCTCATCATGGTAGCGTGAGCTGGCCACTCACTGCTGCGACCCACCAGGGCCTCGGCGCGCCTGCGGGCGCCACGGCGAGCTGGCCAGAAGCTCGAGGCTGGAAGAGGGCGGCATCAGCCGCACCGAGCTCGGCAGCGGCCGAGCCACCGGCAGGGGCCGGGAGGAGTCAACCGGCAGGGACCGGGAAGAGCGGCCGCAGGCGCGGCAAGAGGAGCGACGCGGCGATCGAGACCAGGCGCAAGCAGCTCCAGTTCAAGCACGACTTGAGGGAGACGGGTAACAAGCTTCACGACCTCGCATACATCGAGGACCATCCCTCGGAGAATTCGTCGGACGCCATTGAAGAGGCGCAGAAGGAGGTCCTAGGCCGGATTACGGACCTCGAGCGTACGAGGCAGGAGATAGCTGAGAGCAGGGAGGAGCTCGCCAAGAGACACGCTGTCAAACATGGACGAGCAGGTTCGGCAGCAGTTCGAGTTACTGAGGCAGGAGTTCGCGGCTCGAATGAGTCAGACCGTCGACGAGATGCGGAGGCTGGAGAACGAGAATCAGCGTCTTCAGCAGCAGGTGGCAGGAGGCCTCGCGGCAATTCCGCAGGCGATAGAACGCATGGGCGAGCAGATCAGAGGTGCGACGAACGCGGGAGGAGCCGCTCCCGGTCTCGTAGACACCAAGGGGATTGGCAAGCCCACGACGATGGGCGACGATCAAGAGAAGTTCGGAGCTTGGAATCGCAAGATGGAGAACTACGTGATAGGCGTGTACGGAGAGAGCTTTCGTCCTGTTCTTCGGTGGGCTGCAGAAGCCGAACGCCCCGTGACGATCGAGGGGGCACAGGCGGCGCACGACGGAGTTCCAGAGCTGGAGACCAAGGTCAACCAGCTGTACGCGGCGCTGATCAGCACGACGGCGGACGGCAGCGAGAGCAACGACCTCGTGACGGGCGCCCCCGACGGGAACGGTCTCGAAGCCTGGCGGAAGCTTCACCGCAGGTGGGACCCGACGACAGGTCCGAGGAAGAGGCTGATCCTGAGGTCGATCATCTCGCCTCCGAAGTGCAACGCGGACGAGCTGGGGTCCGCCTTAGAGAAGTGGATCCAGCAGATAGGCAGGTACGAACGCCGCCAAGGAGAAGATGGGCTGGCCGAGCTGCCGGAGGATATCAAGATGGCGGCCCTCGAGATGCTTGTGCCTCAGGACATCGAGAACCACCTCGTACTCAACAAGCATCGGCTCGTAACGTTCCAGGACAGTCTGAACGAGGTAATGACGATCGTAGAGGCTCGGACCGGCGTGAAGATCAAGGAGCCATCGATCCGTGCGCGGGCGCATCATCCGGACGACATGGACGTCGGATCGTTCGGAGCCCCGAAAGGAAAAGGCAAAGGCAAGGGCAAGGACGGCAAGAGCAAAGGGAAAGGCAAGACTCAGGAGCCGAAGGGGAAGAGCAAATCGACGAACGGATCATACTCAGGCTCCCGCACATCCCCGACGGGTTCGGGCCGTGGTTCAGGGCACACGGCACCTCGAAGCACCAGCGGGCGCTTCGACGGCTACTGTCGGAACTGCGAGAGATGGGGCCACAAGGCATCCGACTGCTGGAGGAAAGAGCAGGGATCGAGTACGAGGGCTGGAACTGGATCCGCAACGGGGGCAAGCGCTGGTGGTAAAGCCGGTAGCCGCGGCGGCAAGGCCGGCGGCAAGGCGGCAGGCAGCCTGGAGGAGGAGCCTGAAGCGGAGGTCGCCGCTCTGGACATGGGCAGCTTGGACTGCCTGGAGCTCGCCAGCGGCAGCGGCCGCGGCGTGGCGGCGGTCGACCTCTCCCCCTTCGTGCAGGACGACTGGATGAAGTTCAATTGGGACAGCGGTGCAGCTATCTCAGCATTCCCTCGGAGCTTCGCGCCGCCGACGGGATTGAAGGGCAACGGCAGCACGTATCGCACGGCCAGTGGTGAGCTCGTCCCGGACGAGGGCAGCTTGCAGCTCAAGGCGGAGGACGAGTATGGGGTGCTACGAGCGCTCAAGGGACGCGTGACGAACGTGCACAAGCCGTTGATCTCGGTGGGGCAGGCAGCAGGAGCTGGACAGTGTTCATTCCTAGGCCGCAATGGCGGCTGGATATTCCACGAGAAGAGCCCAATCGGCAAGCGCGTGGTAGGCATGCTCGAGAAGGAGGCGAAGGACGGCGAAGCACCAGATGCTGCCGGTCTATCGTGAGCAGGGCGTCTACAACTTCTACCTCAAGAAGGGCCAACATGGCTCGGTTGCTCCTCTCGAGGAGGGACTTTCGGCGAAGTCGAAGTCCGAGCTGGTGGAGCTCCTCAGCGGCAAGTCGAAGGAGGAGCTGCTGGAGATCCTCGAGAGGACAGTCCCCAGGAGGCAGCCCTCGGCGTAAGTCCACTGGAAGACTCAATACCACGGTCCCCTGCGGCATCGGCTGCAGGGGCGGCAGCGGCGGGGTCGGGACCTTCCGACATGAGACCGCCGGGTTTTCAGCCAGCGGCAGCTGCTGCGGCCGACGCTTTGCCAGCTGCTCCTGATGGACAGCAGGCCGACGAGGGCGAGGAGGAGGCTCGCCCGAGGGTGCTGAAGGCACCTCATGAGCCCTCTCAGAGAGAGATTGCTGAACACGAGGCGATGGGACACGCGACTTATCGCAGCTGGTGTCGCGTGTGTATTGCGGCAAAGGGCCAAGGCCAGCCGCATCTCCGCGCACCGGAGGACGACGAGACGGCGGTGCCGGTGGTCTCGTCCGACTACGCCTTCATGGGCCAGGAAGATGCGGACACCGTGCCGATGCTGGTTCTTAGGGATCGGCGCTCGAAGATGATGGCAGCGACATTCGTGGAGAAGAAGGGCGACGACGCCTACGCCATCAAATTCTTCGCACGCTTCTTACGGATCCTGGGCTACAGGAAGATCGTCAACAAGTCCGACGGCGAGCCAGCGATTTTGCTGGTCAAGAGGCGTGCGGTGGAGGAGGTTCCTGGCCTCGAGGCCATTCCCCAGGAATCGGCACCGGCCGATCATCAGGCCAATGGGGAGATCGAGGTCACGGTGCGCGAGATCAAGAAGCAGGTGCGGGCGCTCAAGATGGACCTGGAGTCCAAGCTGGGCGTCAAGGTGGAGGACAAGCACCCGGTGCTAGCGCACCTGCCGGAGCACGCCGCATCGGTGATCAACCGATACCGGCGTGGCCAGGACGGCAAGACCGCTCTTCAGCGGCTCACGGGACGGCAGTGGAGGAAGCCGGTCCCGCTCTTCGGTGAACGCCTGATGGTGCGGTTCGCCGGGGAGCGCGCGAGGAAGAACGCGCTGGAGGAGCAGATGGTGGAGGCTCGCTACATCGGCCACCACCCGCGCGACGGCTCGATGATGGTCATCACGAGCGACGGTGTGAAGAAGGCGGTCGGCTTTCGCAGCCTGCCGCAGAGCGAGAAGTGGATCACGGCGGGCTGGGACGGCCTGAAGGGCCTGCCGTGGGACGTGGCTCCGCGTGCGGCAAGCGCGCCGCGGGCCATCGTCGGACCTGGAGAGGTCGGTCCGCCACCGATTGTGGTGGTGCCGCCGCAGCCGCAGGCGCCGAGGAGGATGTACGTCCTCAAGGCGGACATCGAGCGGCTGGGCGCAACGCCGGGATGCCCAGGGTGCGTCTCGATCGCCAAGCACGGCAAGGTGCTGGCTGGCCATGCGCACAACGCGGTGTGCAGCAAGAGAATCTTCGAAGCGCTGGGCGCTGAGGAGGCAGGCCGGGAGAGGACCGGCCAGTATCGAGAGCGGAGGCAGGGCCAAGAGGCCAGAGTCCGACCAGCGGCAGCGGCCGCGGCAGGGACCCCTCCGCCGAAGACGGCTCGGAGGATCACCGAGCCGGCGGCAGCGGCGGCGGCGGCATCGGCCACGCCGGCCGCGACCCGATCGGCAGCAGCGCCAGCCGCGGCAGCCGCAGCGGCGCGCATGCGAGAGAGCCAGCCGGTAGCAACGGGCTCCGGCGTGGCGGCTCCTTCAGGAGGAGCGAGCTCCAGTTCGGGAGCGGTGCGAGCGGCAGAGGCCGCCGAGGATGTCGACATGACCGCGACCAGGTCGCGGCTGAAGCGCTTGGCGGAGGTGGCCCCGGATGACGTGCCGGAGGCCCTCGAGCGCGGTGATCCACAGCCGGCAGACGTGCCGGTACCGGTGGACATGGAGGATCTCGCGGCGCAGCCGGCGCCAGCGGAAGGACCTCAGCTGCCAGCTGGAGTGGCAGTCGTGTGGAACGCCAGTGAGGGGAGACACATGCGGGTGCTCGCTCTCGATGTGGCGTCGATCGAGCTGGTCGAGCTCGGAGTGCTGACGAGAGCGAAGGCGGAGTTGCTCCCGCTCGTTCGCGAACAGGTCAGCGGCCATTGGGCCAGCGTCGGCGTGGACATCGCCGACGAAGAGGTGGACAGCATCGCCCTATCGGCGTTGCAGCTGGGCGCCGTGGACGTGGCAGAGGTGCACTCGCCACATCGGTTCTCGGCTCGGGCAGCGGAGTTTCAGCTGCGCCCGGGCTTCGCGGCGGACCTGGAGGAACTCAAGGAGGACGGGGCGCCGTGGGACTTGCGGCGACCCGAGGATGTCAAGGAGCTCGAGAAGCAGCAGGAGCGGATGGATCCCATCCTGCTCACGGGGTCTCCTCCATGCGAGAAGTTCAGCTTGTTGAGGGGCCTGAGCGCCAAGTTCAGGACCGATGAGCAGGAGGCGGCTGAGATGGAGGAGGCCAGACACCACCTGAAGGTGGCAGTCGACGCCTACTGGCGTCAGCTCAGGAGGCCAGGCAGGTACTTCCTGCATGAGCATCCCTGGAGTGCGCGATCGTGGAATGAGGACATCGTCAAGGAACTGGTCGCGCATCCAGGAGTTTTCACGGTCAAAGGCCCCATGTGTCGGTGGGGCATGAAGCTCACGAACCCACGCAGTGGCCAGGAGGAGTTCGTGCGCAAGGAGACCGGATGGGTCACCAACCACCCAGGCTTAGCCCGGAGGCTGCAGGGCACCTGCAGCAATGTGGACGGCCGCGCGGAGTGGCATCGCCACATCACACTCGTGGGCGGCATCGCGCGGTTTGCGAAGGTCTATCCACCGAAGTTGGTGGAGGCGGTGCTGGAGGAGCTCAAGGACACGCTGAATGACGTGGGGGAGCTCAGCACCGCCCAGGTGCAGCAGTCGGGCCCAGTCCCTGTGGACGCGGCAGTGCCGCCCGGGGACTGGACGAGTTACTGGGACGACGTCAATGGCGGCTACCTGGAGGCGGGCCTTGTGGCCCAGGCTCGTGCGGTCGAGCGCGAGTGGGTCAAGAAGCAGGAGCTGATCGAGATCGTCCCGAGGTCTCAGGCTTTCGCCGAGACTGGGCGTCCGCCCATCCCACTCAAGTGGGTAGACACGAACAAGGGTGACGCGGAGAGGCCCAACTACAGGAGCAGGCTCGTCGTGAAGGAGATCAAGGCGAAGAAGCGCCCTGACGAGCAGCTGGAGGCGTCCGAGGTCTTCTCGGCAATGCCTCCTCTGGAGGCCATGCGGTCGCTGGTCTCGTTGATGGTCACGTGGACGCGGGAAGCGCCGCTCCACATTCAGGAGTCGCTTCGCAAGAAGGGCAGGAAGCCAGGCAACTTCAAGATCGGCTTCTTCGACATCAGCAGGGCGCACTTCTACGGGAAGGCGCAGCGGAGGATCTTCGTGGAGCTGGAGGAGGAGAGTCGCAAGGAGTACGGCGAGGACAAGTGTGGCTTACTCCTCAAGTCCTGGTACGGCACGCAGGACGCCAGCAAGATCTGGCAGGGCGACTACACGGAGCTGCTGGAGGAGCACGGCTACAAGGCGGGCGTGTCGTGCCCAGCGGTCTTCTACAAGGAGGTGGATGAGACGAGACTGCCGGGGCACGGCGACGACTTCGCGGTACTGGCTCAGCAGCAGGACATCGACAGCTTCGAGGCCACGCTGGGCAAGAAGTACGAGTTCAAGAAGACTGCGAACCTCGGCTTCGACGAGGGCGATGACAAGCAGGCGGTCTTCCTGAATCGGGTCATCGAGGTCAGTGCGGGAGTTCCGCCTGGCGGTGGCCGGCCCTGCCGGCATGCGATGATCGAGCCGGACAAGCGGCACGCGGAGATCGTGATCGACGAGTTGGGTCTCAGCAAGGCCAACGGCGTGGACACGCCGATGGAGAAGCGCAGCGCCGACAAGCAGATGATGGATGCGAAGTCGGCGGCGTTGGGAGCAGCGGAAGCTTCGCGCTTCCGATCCCTCACCATGAGGGTGGCCTACCTGTCTCAGGACAGGCTGGACTTGGCAGAGGCATCAAAGACGCTCGCTAGGTCCATGCAGACGCCGACGGAGGCGAGTTGGCTCATGCTCAAGAGGGTTGGCCGCTACCTCAAGCGGCATCCCAGCACGGTGACGGTTTTCACGGAGCAGAAGATGTTCGACAAGATCCGGGTGCACGTGGACTCCGATCATGCGGGCTGCGCGGTCACCCGGAAGAGCACCGGAGGCTTCGTGGCGATGCTGGGGCATCATGTCGTCAAGCATGGCAGTAATCTGCAGTCGACGGTTTCTTTGAGCAGCGGAGAGAGCGAGTACTACGCCCTGGTGAAGGGCGGGAGCGTGGACCTGGGTCTTCACAGCCTCATCGCGCACTGGGGGCTAGACCTGAAGGTGGAGCTCGCCTCAGATTCATCGGCGGCCCGGGGCCACGTCCAACGGCGAGGTCTCGGGAAGATGCGACATGTTCAATCACGATACTTGTGGATCCAGGAGCGCGTGGGCAAGGGCGACCTCTCGATCGCCGCGGTTCCTGGTAAGAACAATGTCGCGGACGTGCTGACCAAGAGCGTGGGTGGATCTCTTTTGAGGAGACACATGGCGACGCTCAACATCTGGGATCGGGCACCGAGTTCGACTCAGAAGGACTTCAAGTGATGAAGTGGATCGAATCCATGCTCCGCTACCTGTGGGGCTGGATGAGGTTCCGCCGGCGGCGGTATGATCGCGCCGGACGGATGGAGTGAGGGGCTCGCGGCATGGCCGCAGCCTAGCTGATGAAATGGGCGCGTCGGCTTGGGCGCGCCCGCGTACGACGCAGGTCGTGCCTGGCCGGGTTGGCGGCCAGGCCCGAGGAGGAGTGATTCTGACACCCTCCTCCGTGCACCTATTTTGGCTCAAGATGGAAAAGAGATATCTTGTCCATCGGCATATTATCTCATCATCGGAGCAGATGGACTCGGAGGATCGCGCCGCATGGCCAGTGCATCGGCGATGCATCGACGGTGCGGCTCGATGTGGGGCCCGATTTTCTCCACGCCGACGTCCCCGACGCATCGCTGACGTCGCCAGTGCATGGCCGATGCGTTGCCGATGTATCGGCGATGCGGCGAGATC